GGAATAATGAAAAGTGCATTCTATAAGTCGGGTCTTTGTTTTAGATATGAATCTATATTTTTGTTAAGGGAAGTCCCTTTTTCCAAACCAAATTATATGCAAATTACATAGAATTTTGCTTCCATAACTCGAACTTCTGTAACTCGAATTTCTCAATAACTCGAATAAAAATATTGTCACATGTTAGTTGGAATATGGAAAAATGCATTCTATAAGACGGGTCTTTGTTTTAGATATGAATCTATATTTTTGTTAAGGGAAGTCCCTTTTTCCAAACCAAATTATATGCAAATAACATACAATTCTGCTTCCATAACTCGAACTTCTCTATAACTCGAATTTCTCTATAACTCGAATAAAAATATTGTTACGTGTCAGTTGGAATATGGAAAAGTGCATTCTATAAGTCGGCTTTTTGTTTTAAATATGAATCCATATTTTTGTTAAGGGAAGTCCCTTTTTCCAAACCAAATTATATCCAAATTACATACAATTCTGCTTCCATAACTCGAACTTCTCTATAACTCGAATAAAAATATTGTCACGTGCCAATAGGAATATGGAAAAATGCATTCTATAAGTCGTCTTTTTGTTTTAAATATGAATCCATATTTTTTGTTAAGGGAAGTCCCTTTTTCCAAACCAAATTATATACAAATTACATACAATTCTGCTTCCATAACTCGAACTTCTCTATAACTCTAATTTCTCTATAACTCGAATAAAAATATTGTAACGTGTCAGTTGGAATAATGAAAAGTGCATTCTATAAGACGGGTCTTTGTTTTAGATATGAATCGATATTTTTGTTAAGGGAAGTCCCTTTTTCAAACCAACTGTTTAATTTTTTTTCTTTCTTATGTTGCTTCTTTGTGCAAAGGCTAGTTGCTAGCATTTAGGTTAAGGCATAGAATTGGCATTTCTTCCTTCGCATATAACCTCTAAATTGCAACCGCTTGATTAGGGAGTAATTCAAAATTTAAAGTATAACTATCGCTAACAGAATCGTAATAGAAGCACTAAAACTTATAGAAGCAAACAAAAAACTGGATATTATACTTATGGATTGCATAAACCATGTAAGAAAAACCTTATATATCATTGATATGAGTAGTCAAACGATAAGCGCACTGCTTTAAAAAAGCTGGATATAGCCAATTTTCTACTTGGGACGTACAAGACGGCATTCCTTTCGTTTTTTTGAATAAATAATAAATATTTAAGTAAGTAAATAAGTAAATAAAATAACTTTCAATGCTACTCTTAACAATTATATTAAGCTTGAGAATGAAATTTGTACATCAAGCTTTTGTACAGGTGACGATATTATTGAACATTATAGCTCTAAAATACTGGATCCGATTCTAAACGGTACGGAAAGTGATGATGAGGGTTTGGTAGATGAAATTGTTCATTAGCCTTTCAAGAATCAATTAGAAGACTCATTTATTTTTATTCGCAAATGAATGACACTACAACTGATGATCACTATAGGGATTTAAATAAATTGGTACTTTTTTTTACTGAAAATAAGAAAAAAAAAATTAAAATCTAAAACCCTAATTTCTGAATATTTCATTCACTAACTTCTGTGCTGCATTTGACTTCAAATAAATAAATAAATATCTTAAAATATAATTCTAGTTTCTTTCTAAAAACAAAAAAAAATTAAAAAATTCTCTAACTCGAAGTGTCCATAAGTCGAACCTTTTCTTTGCAAAATGGTACTTCTAGTTATGAAAGTTCGACTGTACATAATTATATCAGAGACATACGCAAAGGTTTATTTAAGGAAAGTTTTTTAATAAATAATTTAAAGTTTAAATGAAAACATTTAATTAAAAAAAATATTATATTTAGTTTAAAATAGTCCAAAATATTTTAGTGATGACTTGAAATCCGAAATACCATTAATATATATTTTATTAAAATTGATTCCATGCCATTGTATTTAGTTTTAAACATGTTTCTTATGCTATGTTTAGACAACCAAATCTCCTTCAATTCGAAAAAATGAAATTAAGTTAATTTCAAAATATTCATATCGAATGTTAAGAATTACATGCTCCAAACACCATTTGTATCTGGGAAATTTTTAATGTTGATTATTATAACTATAAAGGATGGCAATCAGTAGTTTTATTCGGTTTAGTGGATTTCAGGTATGTGAATTATTATTTTTCACTCTATTTAATTAATAAGTTAATTAAATAGAAATGTCTCTTAATTTCAGCCTTTGTTTCAACGAAATTAAGGGATTTTTCCTTAATTTCGTTCTAACGCTAAAACTGAGTTTTGTATGGAAAAAACAACTTAATTTCGTTACAACGAAGATCAAATTAAGATTTTTGTGAAATTAAGTTGTGTCTGAACATAGTATTATGCAGAAATTTAAAAATAAATTTATTTTTTCAATAAAGAAGTCAAGTAGAAAGAACTTGAATACAAAAGAACAACTTAAATTCCAAGAATGAATGAGTTGCAATTAAATTAATGATATCTAGATAATACTAACTGTTTGTATAACCAATGTATTGCTTTGTATAACCAATGTAAATGAAACAAATCTATGCCAATGATTTTAAAAAAAATTATTAAAAGAAGTTAGAACACATATGCTTTTCCATATAAACTATATAGGAAACACATTTTGAAACCATTCAATAGCCCAACAAAGTCAGTGGCATTAGAATAAAGACAAACATTTTATGTTAACATAATGCTTGATTATAGCATAGAAATGTTCTTTTGTATCATTATAAATTATTTATATTAATGTCAAATATTATAAAAGCTTATTGTTAATATTAACCTAAATATCTGTTACAGTTTAATATTTTAAAATTTTAATAAATTGCAAAGTTGCTGTCAGATTGTGCTTTATGTGGCTTCTACTTAATCTCCTTAGTATGTTATATGTTATAGGTAAACTCCAAAGTTGTTTGCCAAATCATTATAAGATCGGGAATAACAGTTGAATTTGTGATCTTAAGCTATTTATCAACGTTTTATACCCTAAGTTAAAATTACTTAATTAGTATTTAAATAAAATAATTGATATAATTTGCATATCTATTACGATCATTAGAAAGCTGGACCTACATAATCTTCATAAATTTCATAATAGTAATCTATATATATAATTTCAAACTCAGACACACTTTTGAAATTATATGATAAATAAAAATGATTTACTCTGACTGTGGGTTAAGATATTTGTGCCTCAATAACTGTCACTTGCTGTCAATAATTGATGTATCAGGGAAAGCTTTTAAAGCAGCCTAAAGCTCATTTAAACAATTACAATTGGCAATAGGTGTTACGATAGGCTGAATAGATAACTTTGGAAGTATAACGTTGTCCTTCTCGATAAAACTTACTCTCTATATGTGAATTATATGTAACCTATAAATACAGATCATCCTACCTGTACTTCTGTACGTCGAAAAAGCATTGACACTATTACAGAATGGTGAAGCCACTAGAACGGCTTAACAGACAAATACTTCTCTACATTTTTGTTTTGCCTTTCATTATTAAATCATTTTAAGGTAATTTTTAGTGAATTATCGTCAAATACTTGATATAACTCCGTTATTATTTGACAAATGAAATATTAAAGATTGTTCGCATAAACGCGATCCTATGCGTAATCCGACAAAAGAAGTCTAGTGGTAACATATCGCATAATCTTGTTTGCCAATTCACATCACCAAAACATAAAATCACACATTCGGAAAATTTCTTGAGTAGGAAAGCCTAAAGAGTATGTTTGGAGGCTTGTACCACTACCCCATTGAAACCATATACACTTCAAATCTATGACGAGTAACTCATCATCAGTAGTCTTAAGAAATATTCAAAAAAATTTTTAGGTTGGATTTTTATTTTTATCTTATATAGTTATTATCTAAATAGATATCGGTGATATATTGAAATTTATTTTCTTGTTTAGAGCGCCGTATTATTATAACTGATTATAGAAAGATTATTATTTCATTTTTGACATTTTTCAAAATGACATCTATAATTTATTAAATTTTTACAATTAAATTAAGTAGAACGAAATGATTTTTAATAAATGATTTTAATGTATGAATTATAAAGAGACCAAATACATCCCAGGTTCAAGCAATAACAACAACAACAAATTTGAATTCTGATATTAATTATTTTTTTTAATTTAATTAAAAAATTTAATGGTAAATAATTTTTGGGAATGCAAGTACCAGAAATCGAACTCGTGCTCTGCCAAATTTGTAACTCAGAGTCAGCGCTCCTCAAGCAACTGACTCAAAGCCGTACTTGACTTTTATGTTCGCACATTTTTCTGGAATTTTGTTAATTTGCTATAAAAGTTTATTAACAAATTTACTTGCTGTGTAATATATTACAACGAAATCATAAACCAGCTGTATAATAATTGAATTATAATCATATTTTTATTTTTAATTTTCAAATTTCAGTACTATTCTGTTTGTGGAGGCATTATTTGTTGCATGATTTATAAATTATTTTTTATCTAGTAACTTAATCTAGTAACGTAATAATTAATTAATTAAATCATTTAATTAAAATAATATAAAATGAATTTTTGTTCTTGTAGTTCACTACTATTCGAAAAACCTCTTTATGAAATATTAATTAATTAATTTAAATATAACAAAAAATTTAATTAAAAAAATTATTTATTTTTCTAATTTTTATTAAGAAATTTTTTTAATGAATAAAATTCTAAAAATTTACACATTTTTGGTTTAAATTTTATTAAAATCTATGTTTTAATCAGTTCATTTTTAAGTAATCATCTAGTTATAATTAAAATATTTATTAACAGAATAAATGACTTAATAAAAAAAAATCCAATTTGGCGCAAGTATGAGATTATTAATAAAATTTTATTTTAGTGAGTCCGCACTATATTGTATATAAAATAAACTAATTTTAAATATTAAATTATAAGAGAGCAATATTTTAATTTTTTCTTTTTGACAGATTGCGAAAACCACATCTTAAGCATAATACTGGGTCGGTCGACTTAAGGCACCTCATAAAAAAGTATATAAAAAAGTAGTAGGCGAATATAGCTGTGTATTTATATTCTTAAATTAAAAAAGTAATCAAAGAAATCATAATAAAATCAAACAAAATTTAAAAAAAAAATAAAGAAACGACCGCCCGCCAGCACTACCGCCAGCATGAATCAATGTGCTAATGTACGCTGTGCCTCAGGCGGCGGCACCATCAATTCCTGTCAAATGTCACATTGAATTTGTCGGCAGCCGGTGCACTGAATCAGCTCCAGAACACAAAAAAGCCACAACTTAACTCAGTCAACAGCTGCCATTTGTAGGTTAATAATTAATTTTTTTTTTGTTCTTAGTCTTATTTCATCGCTCCATTGCTCCATTGCTCCATTGGTCATTTAGAAGAAATAAAAGAATCATAAAAACTACTAAGCGAGGCAAAATATAACCAAATAAAAAAACAATTACACTTATGAGCAAATCAAATAATATTGTAGAAAAAACAAACTAAAATTAAAAATAATATTAAAAATTCACTGCATATGTCGGTCGACACACTGCGTCCTCTCCGACGAATTTATTTATTTTTATTTTTACTTGATGACGTCTCCGTTTGTTCATAGTCGAATTAAGTGCCATAAAATCGAACGTAATAATTCTGAACACAACAAGAACAACACAGAAACCAATAAAAATGGAAAGTACACAGAGAAGGTGGCATATGTAAATTTTATTGTGGGTCTGCCAACTGCCAACTGCCGGCCGCCTTCTGGCCTGGCCGTCTTTTGGCCGCCTTAATGAAGACAATTATTGCTGTTTGGTAATTGAAAACAAAATATATTCAAAAATATTAACCCCATACCCATGCCCCGCACAATAATTATTGACTACAAAATATTAAGTTTCTCCACTGAATTTAGTTGTGCACTTTCCGATTAGTTAAAGTGCCACGGAGCAGAGCAAATCCGGAAAAAATAGAAAGAATTATTTTACTAAATTGAAAATTGACTAAATTAAATTGAAATAAATGAAAATAAATTAAAAAAAAAATTATTTTTCCTACAAAATTATGAAACACAATGGCATATGTAAAAGCTTTGTATGTTGTGTGGAGTGTACAAGTAAATTTGCTTCAATTACCCAAAATTGAATATTTCACTTTAAGTGCTTTCAAACAAAATTTGATTTTAAGTATGACGCAAATTAACGTAAAAAAATATTTAAAAAAAAATATTATAATTAGAAAATGTGCACATTGTTTTGTATATAAAATTTATCTAAAACCAGACAGGCAAAAACACACAATCTCACATACAAGTGATGCTACCTTAGCCATAACATTTTCCATACCTACATTGGTACATGGCAGAGCAATGAAATTTGTTCATCATACGCCATGTTGGCAATAAAATCGGCACCTTAACCTGAGCATTTAACACGTATCATAAAATGATATTGTTTTTACTAATTTCTTCTATAAATTACATTTTCAATAAAAATAAGTGAATTTTAAATGAAAATGTGTAAATTTTAAATAAAAATGTGTAAACTTTAAATAAAAATGTTCGAAATGTTCGAAAAGTTCGAAAATCTTGCCAAACAACGTTCGAAAAATTTAATGCCATGAGACACGATATATCCTAAGTTCAGCTTTACTAAGCTTCTTAAAATTGGGCTAAGCAACAAAAGAAGCTAGGAGGGCATCAATCAAACCTACCAGTTAACGAATTGCACAATCGCATGGCTCACTGACGGCTCGTTTACGGAGGAAGGTGCCGGAGCGGCCATAGTCGGATCAAAACTACCAGCTAACGAATTGCACAATCGCATGGTTCACTAACGTCTCGTTTACGGAAGAAGGTGCCGGAGCGGGCATAGTCGGACCAGGCAAAAAGCACTGAGAAGCGCTGGGGAAAAATACTAACAAATTCCAAGTGGAAATTTATGCAACTTTAATGTGCGTACTCATCAATATTGAACGGAATTAAAATGGTAAAAATATCGCAATACTGAAACTCACATCAAGAGACCTCAAGACTGGTGGTAGACAGCCTTGATAAGCTAAATCTGCTTGGCGAAACAAATCAGGTGTCGGTTCTTTGGCGTACGCGGAACGAATACGCGAACAAACTAGCCAGAAAGAAGCAGTCACACCGATGATGGGACCGGAACCTTTTGTGGACTAGGACATAGTACGCTCCTTTCTCTCATAAAAATAAATGAGAACCAGAATAAAAAGTATTACCGGGATAATGTAACAGTATTAAAACAATCTAAATCACTTATTGGTACCTATAACAATAAAAGATATTAGGATTGTTTGAATTTATCAAAAGAAAAACTAAGAATCATCATAGGAATACCAATAGGGCATTGTAAACTAAAACACTACGTTACTGGAATCATCCGAAGACGCACTTAGACCATGTCAAGTAATGGATTATGATTATGTTTTATCAATTGTCACTACTTGACCTCTACTACTCCGTACTAACGTCTTTTGGACGACCCGGACGCTCTTTATTAAAAACACTCATACGACCATGTTGAAATTCAGTTTTCCAATATTTTATTGTTGTTAACGATGATGCAAGGTTGCCGTAAATAGAATCTATTTTCAATTAAATTGATGTTCATTCTTTTGATACGGAGGAGTTTTATTACTGTACGATATTCAATATCTGATGAAGTCGAAACTTTTACATTTGTCGTTTAAAACTTGCCAGATATATCAAAAATAATTGATTTTGTTGTGACGTTTCTACCTGTTATGAAGTCAGTCCACCATAAATCCACCTAGTACTCTAAAAACGTTCGATTGGGCAACAGATTATTGTGCAAACACGGAGGATTGGTTAATGCTAGACTCTTTGGCCAGGGTCTCAAGAGCTATGGTTGTGAAGTAGGATGATTGGAGCATCAGAATCCCACTCATTGAAGTATAGCGCGAGGTATTAAGGGATAGTATGAAGTGCATAACATGCACGAGATCGGCAGGGAGGGTACTAGGGAGGTGGGTTATGTAGCCGGATGAGATACCATACCTCTTTTAGTATATTTGTTAAAGTTTCTACTATATCGTTAAACACACATTAAATTATTGGAGAACTTGATTCAAAATACTATATTATGGCATCCAATTAAGAAATTATGAAATACACACGTTCAGCTGTTATTTAATACATTGTTCTTTAATAGATTGAAGAGTTGTTTACTTTGACAACACGCATCAAATATTTTACTAATTTTTTAAAAAAAAACATTAAATTTTTATTTAAAAACAATATATTTTGAAATATAAATAATTTTTTAAAATATTACCGAATGTTTACTATTTGATTTTAAGTGGTTCGTAAATGCTAACAGCAAACACTTGGAACTTAGAGTTCAAATATTTATTTCAATTGAAAACAATTTTAAGTAATTTTATGAAATATGTTTTTAATAAATATTTATAATGTTAAAAAAAATTACATTATTACTGCTGTTGTGCGGTCATGCCAACTCCAGAAAGCCAGCTACCCGATCTATCTTGTTGGTGAGATTTAAATAAAGGCAATTATAGATAGAGATGATGGCTTTTTGATATGGGATTAATTTAGCTTATGAAATTAGAGACATCTGAAAAAAATTTGTAGAGCAATTACTTTGACATTTCTGAGTATATTAGAATATTAAAAAATATGTGATACATATTGAATTTCAGAACTATAGCTTAAATGCAAATCAAAATAATACGTCCCTTGTTTTTTTGTAATAAGTGTTTTAGAAGTATGACAATAAACTATAGGGTCTTTATGAGGTGATCAATTAGACTGATAAATACACTTTCTGAGGACAGTTTTGCTATCCTTAGATAATCATATCCGGTTTATTTTTAAAATTGATAGGCGAAGAATTTTTGAGAACCGGATTGTCATGACTAAAAGAACTATAAACTAATACTACTTCAGTGTGTGGAACTGAAAGCACTTGTTGATGTAAGAAGAGTTTCCATCGTTACAATATTATTTATTGTATTTATTTCTTGTGTATTTATAGCAAGAATAAATAAAAAAGAGAACTTTGATGATGATAGTCCGGCACCCTCTAGCGTCAAAAAATTTTAATTTAAATTTGTAAATAACCAGTTACAGATAATAAATATAGATTAAATAACCTAATTACATACATTTTTCACTGTCAAGTAAAAGAGCTATGATAGTTTGCGTTATTTGTCACCCATGCGCAATAGGTCTAATACGCCATTTAGTTATTCAGATCTATTGAATTGAAACTTTAATTAGATAAACTGTAACTAAACTGCTCTTTAATTTGATATATATAAGTTTCAACATAATCTATATGACGACAAAAGGTTAATTTAGAATAGACCCGATCAAAAAATACATAAGGGATAGAGCCCTGACGTTATATGCGAAAATTGACAGGCTATCCTACTTACCACTATCTTATCTTAGAGTAATCAGTCTCCGCACGGGGAGGTACGCAGATCTTAGATCAATCACTGAATAATTATGAAGTTTATGAGAGATATACAATTTAGTCAATTAGATGGGTGGGACCCTGTAGTACCCCCAGCTATCAAAGAGTAAAAGTGCCCAGTTGCGCTGACTCGAAAAAAAGATCAACATACATACTAAAGGTTAAAACACAATTTTGATGTGATTGGGTAAAATACCAATGCATCTGGCAGAAAGTAGATAATCTTATTTTATTTAATTATTTCAACATGATTCATTATTTTATTTTATTATTATTTTATTTAATTATTTTATCAATAATACAGACTTTTTTAAAAGTATATTTCTGTTTCCATATAAATTTAAATTATATAAATTTAAATACTCTAAAATATTAATTGTTTTTTGATACTATAGTGAAAACACAAAGTCTAGTTGACCAACTGAATTGGCCTCTACAGTCAATTGTGGTAAAACTACTTAAAAAAGGACATTAAATTAATTATGGAACCCTTTCATCGGTTCATCTTCACTTAATTGGGGATTCGTTGCCTTTCGGCGTTGATAGTATGTTGCTCTTTAGTCTATGTAGGAACAAACAAGTCTATGTCTTTAGTCTATGTAGGATTGTACCCAATGCCAATACTTCAACCTAACCTAACATAGTGTGAACCGTTGTTGCCTTTTCTGTTTTTAGAGAACGCGTTTATTGCTATTATTATGGCTCTAGTAGTTCCCACGTTCTTGACTCTTAGTGAAATCCTCTTCCGTATTCTATGACTACCTCTGTGGTGGAACTCTGAGGTGAATCAGTGTTCTGCTCTATTTGCTCTTAAAATTTCTTATTTCTTAACACGAGTATTTTCGATAAAATTAAAAATGAATGCAAAATTAAATTTAGTGGTTATTATGTATTATTAATTTTATTTTTATTATATATTCGAGTGTATAAAATAATTTCTCATAAAAACACATAAATCTGCATTAAATGTCTTACGAAAAGATTAAAAAATAAATTTGATTTTCGGTGCTTCCACCTACAAATGCCCACATGCAGACGTGTTATCTAATTTATTTTATTGCGTAAAATGACTACGTCTGTCAGTGATTAATTAATTTAAAATAATGTTTCAAAATGTTTATGGAAAAGTAAATGATGCTTACAAAACAAATTAATCTGCATTAATCAAATAATGAAAGATCATCTTGTTTATTATTTATCGAACCGCTTTTAAGTGCAAGGCACTTGCCGCCTTTCAATGTTCAATATTAAACGAACAAGCATGCCTTTGAGATCAGTTGAGATCAGATCTTTCCTCAGAAACATTATTTCTGTTTTCAAATAATTTACATACTAATTTTGTGCATATCAAAATTTTCATTTCGAATTATTTATTTTTATAAGAAGATTTTGTAAATAAAAGTGATTGGCTCTCTAGAAAATTTTTAATTGGAAAATTTTGCTGCTCAGATCAACAAGTGGTGCTATCGCACGTGTTGAAATCTTTAAAATGATTTTCAATCGATTGGTTCTCATTAATATATGAAAAAAAATATTTTTTAAATTTATCTAAATAGTTACATTCAACAAATGTTTATTTAAATTATTATAAAACACTTTTTTTCAATACATAAATATTTACAATATATGATAATAAGTAAGACAAAAAGTAATGAAAATAAGATTAACACTTTATATATTAAGATATAGTAATATTATATATCTTATTATTAATATTCATAATTTTAATAATAATAATTTTATATTATTAATACAATATATTAATTATTTTTTTATTGTATTATTATTATTAAATTAATATTATTATTATTAAATTATTATTATATTATTGTTATTATATTATAATTATTTTATTATTATAATTATTACATTATAATAATTATTATATAATTATAATTATTATTTTATTATAAAGTTACGTTATACCGGTGATCCTAAGGGATCCACTTAGGCTTATAGACCCATTGTGATACCGTATAATTATAAACTAAGGTTAGAACCATTAAGAATCTTTGGCAGAGCTTTGTTGTTAATATAATAATGTAATATTCATAATATTAATAATAATGATATTAGAATATTAATACAATATATTACTTATTTATATTTCTATTATTATATTATCATTATATTAATATTATTATTATTTTATTATTATTATTATATTCTTATTACATTATTACTAAGTTCGGTTATACCGGCGATCCCAAGGGATCCACTTGGTCTTATGTTCCCATTGTGTTACCGTATAATTAAAAACTCAATGGTTCGAAACACTTAGAATTTTTAGCTTATAATCTTATTCAAAGTGAGATCTTACAGTTCACCAAGATCCTCATAAAAAATAAGCCCCTAAAGTGATAAAGCGGCACTGATCATTGCCGGACAGAAGTAAAGCAGATGGAAGGCACTTTTATCAGTCTCCACACCTGCGGCAGGTATGGTTGAAAGAAAGTTTTTGTCTTCTAGCATGGTTTCCTAATATACTATTAATATATTATTATCATTATTATATTATTTAGATTATATTAAGATTTAAATAGAAAGAAATCATTGAGCAGATTGGAGGCACTTTCGTCATCAGTTCTTCACAACTGCGGCAGGTATGGTTGAAAGAGAGATTTAGTCTCTTAGCATGGATGCCTAATACATTATTATTATATTATTAAGATTATATTAAGATTTAAATTAGATAAAATTATATACAAAAATTAAATTATTGATCCTACTTATGTATATGTCCCTATTTTTGAGTTTGAATCCTAACTCTGAAATGGTATATCAGATTTGCATGAACTAAAAAAATTCCTCCTTAGCTGAGCGTATTCTAACTTAGAATTATTAAAACATTACTTCAAGAAATATTTCGCTTAATCTTAGCTTGTGTTCAGATCTTGCTTTTTCTTCTTTTGGAACACATTTTCGATTTGTTGTGTCATTTTGTTCCAGTTTTCTGCTCACTTTCAGTTCAAAGATATATTCTACAGTTCTTCTAATAATGACTTTCTTCTCCTTAACATCTTTTTCACACAGTCTGCTCAGCATCAACCTCTGTCCGTTCTGCGATATAAACAGCTGGATTGGTCTGTTTTTATCATTACATAAAGAAATTTCGAAAAATTTCTATGACCAGATAGGAGCTGTGTAATATCTCTCCAAAGTAGTTTACCATATCTCTCCAAAGTTTCTCGATTTTTCATCCGAGATTAGCTTTACCATTTATTGTCCTAATGAATTAAAGCCCGATTGTTGTTGCAAACTCTGAAAGATCCCTTATCTACCGTGATGTGGGACGTATTATTGTCCAATCAATGCTCACAGCATTTCTTCGTTCACAAACCTGTTTTTAATATTCATAAGACTATTAATTCATAGTTTGTTTAATAACTAGTGCCAACTAGTATTTTAAGAGTAAAAAAAATCCACGTTGTTATAAAAATTTTCTACAACTATGCTAATTATACTTGAAATTTATCATTAATTGAACTGTCTATTAACACCCAATTTCTTGGTTCCTGTTTTCTGAAGATATAGCTCAACGAAAAGACATTTGAATCCAACAACAATAACAATATATGGGTAAAGTTCAAGGCTTTTAAAAAAAATGAGACAATTTTAAAAGATTAGACATTTTAGTCCTGCAACAATAAGATCTATTACCTATTTTTAATATCTCGAATAATCATACTATATGGAAAACTCCTAAAAGTTAAAAAAAAACTTCAATAAAATATATTTAAAAAGGCTATGTGGAAAAATAGGATTGTTTTTTGCTTTTTGCTTTTTTTTTGGTATCTTAAATTCAAATAGTCACGAATTTTTAGACCCATATTTCTAAAAAAAAACTTCATGATAAATAAAATGACCAGTAGTTGTATACGTAGTTGTATATTTTATGTTTTCTGTTGAGAATATTAAACTACATATATTTTAATATATTATCTATATAAAATGGCATAAATACTCCCTTGTACTCCATTATACATATATTTTATAAAGATCATTACAGTTAGAGATATGGGATCGCAGTTCAGTGATCCCCAATACATATATCTCATCTTATTATTTTTACTAAGTAACTTGCTTTAATGACGGTTTTTGCTTTTAGACAGAAAAAATATTATTATTATATATAACTTCCAGATATCAGTGAACTTATTTAAACTGGTTTTTTTTTCTATTTACAGTTCCTTCCTGCAGAGTTAAAGAAAACACAATTTCCAATCATTTAAATGTTAGACTTGAACTCGCGAAAGAATGTCAAAGACAAAGAATCGATACCGAAAAAAAATAAAACACGAAGCTAGTAGAAGCTTCATTATTAATAAAAAAACAAAAAAATTTACAAAATATCGCAGAAGACTAGAATAGGTAAAGCACAACTCAACCCAAAAACGTTTGGAGAAAATGCCCTCCCGACGCAGCTCCTACAGACGTAGAGAAAGAACTGCTTTTCAACAATTCAAAGAACATTTCCGAAAATTTACAGCGTTTATGTTTAGTAATGTTGGCATTATATTATTGGTTGTATTCTACACTATCGGAGGTAATTATGATATGACTATATATGTTAATACTAAGTTTTACTTTATGGTATCATTTATGGTATTTAATTGCCTCAGGTGCCTTCATATTTCAAGCAATCGAAATATTCGAGTATGAAAGACGTAAGACAGCGGAACCACAAAAGTACGTGACCCGTAATCATACTGGAGATTGTTTGGAGCGGATCTGGGATATGACTGCAGAAAACATAAGTTTTTACAATAAAATAGATTATAAAAAAAGGTATTTTAATACATCCACACATGTACATATATATGCATTTCTGTGTATATATTTATTTTTTTCTAGAATTAATCATATTTTGTTGGATTTTCAAAGAGCAATTGTAGAAAAAGAACGAAAGGGTAATGAAGTAGATAAACAATGGAGTTTTTCTGGTGCCTTTCTTTATTCCTTAACCGTAATAACTACAATTGGTAATAATAAAAAAATATTAATAAAAATTTATTATTTTATTTATAAATAAAATAATTGAGTTTGACAAAATTTAATTTTCAATTTTCTTTAGGTTACGGAAATATTGCACCAGAATCTGATTGGGGTAAATTGGTTACTATACTCTATGCCATTATTGGAATGCCACTCTTTCTGTTGTATTTATCTAATATTGGTGACGTGCTAGCGAAATCTTTTAAATGGGTTTATTCAAAAGTTTGTTTATGTCGAATATGTCCGGGAGTTGCACGTAGGCGCATAATACGTGAAAGGCGAAAGCTAAAGCAAATGGCAAAAGCGGTAAGTGGATTTTTTGAAACGTGAATTGATTAATTATATGAAAACAAATACTATTAATTTTTTTTGGTTTCAAAAATGTATAAATTCAAATAAGACATTTTTTGGATTTATTACCATTACCCAAAAACTCATCCTGCATATCACTCATTTACTTATACGTTTTCCACATGTATTATTACTTGTTTTAAGTGCGGTAAGCTAGCACTTTTTGTATTGAAACTTGTTATACGTTTATGTTATTCCCAGTTTTTAGTACTATTACCTAGCACTTTGTGGTATTGCAAAGTTTTATATAGCGGTCTTTTATAAAATTTTTAATTTGACTTATATCAAATAAAATAATGTTTACTATGAATTAACTTCATAACACGTTTTTTAGTGCTATTAAAAAACACTGACCTATTGCATAATGGGGTATATATATATGCTCACAATCAATTTCCCGTCAAAAATAACCAGCAAGAAAAAACTTATAGTGGCTGTAATAATGTTATTTTTATAGTATTGTATTATCTCATAATAATTGTTAACAGTACTTACGCCTTTCTTTAAAAGCGGAAAGTGTAGTAATTATATTATTTGCGATTTATAAAAACATGGCTCTAAATAAAAATATCGTATACACATATATATTTTCAGCTACGCGATATCGAAAGTGGGCAAGACAGTAAAAGTAGTCAAAGTAGCTCCAGTAATTCTTCAGAAAGTTTTGACAGTGAATATAGTCCGAGCGAAGAAACTGAAAGTTCAACAAAAACATCTAGTATAAATAAAATGTATAATGAAAATAATGAAGGTGACGATGATGATGATGATGATGACGACGATGATACTGATATTGAGAGAGAAATACGTGGTAGCACGGATGAAATAACAGTGCCAATAACAGTGTGTATCCTGATAGTTATAAGGTAGAGTTACAAAATATTAAATTATATTAACCATTATATATTATTATAATTAACAATTAACAATAACTTAGAATAACAATTTTATTAATCATGAATACTTAATTAATTTTATAATAGTTACATTCTTTCGGGAGCTATACTTTTTGGTCGTTGGGAAGACTGGGACTATTTAGACGGAAGTTATTTCTGTTTTATATCGCTTAGCAGTATTGGCTTTGGCGATTTAGTACCCGGTGATCGTGTGGTAAGTATATATTTTATTATTAAATTCATTTACTTTATTCTAAAGAAATATTATTTAAATTTTTAGATCACAGCCGATAAAGACAAAGTTGAACTTAGTTTTATACTTTGTGCAGTATATCTACTACTTGGTATGGCTTTAATTGCTATGTGTTTCAATTTAATGCAGGTAAGTCTTCGAATATAAATTTTTAAATCTAGAGATATAGATATTTTAAACAGTACTGAATTACATCAACAAAATTTTTATTATTTATAATTAATTAAATTTTTGGCTGACCATATAACTGTTTTAAGTATTACTAAATATATTACCAAAATATATACCATATAATATAAAAAAATATATAATAAAAATTTTGTTGTTGTGATTCAGTACTGTTTAAAATACCCCCCTATTATAGCATTAGAGTCTATTAAAAACATGGTTTCTATAGTCATAATTGACTTTAAAAAACAAAGTCTGTTAAAATATATTGACAACACTATTGGTTACAGACTCTTACGAATACTGTAACATCCTAATCTGCATATATGTATAATATAAATTACATATAAATCAGAGCCTCATTCCAAAAATTGTTTCGTTATGGTTAATTTAAAAAATTGGGATTTATAGATCACCAATTCTTACGATCATCTAATTTATACCTAATTCAACCCGATTCCCTAAAACTATTCGCACCCTCATTCAATCATTACTCATCCACATCCTAACCTATGTATTCGTCGTGCACTTCTTTCATGGTATCTGCTTTTCAGATCTCCACGGGCTACAACAACAACAGCACCTAAGCTTTATATACTTATAATAAAATATAAATTGTAAATCAAAACGTTTCACTGACAATTCTTTCGTTTCGATACAATTATAAAAAAGGCGAGTTGGTTCCATTCTGATTTTCTCCCTGGTAAAAATATCAGTTTTCCAGTCCTCGTCTCAGTTCGGATTTAAGAAAAGAAAGCACTTGTGCCCTCATATTATTATTATTAAGCTCCCATTAGGAGCTTAAGGAGTCTATAAAAGTTTTCCACTGGTATCTATTTTGTGCTGTTGCTCTCAACTCGTTAAATGATTTGCCTGCCTCCTGCTGAACTGTGCTTCTCCAGGTCATTGCTGGTTTGCCTCTGAGCCTAATCTCCTGGGGGTGTGCTTTTATATATGCATATAAATATTTTATAAACATTATAAACATAGTTTTTTATTTATATTAAAATATTTAATTAAATTAATTTTAACTAATATTATTAATTGAAATAATTTTATATATGTTTTATTTTTTAGGAACAAGTTGTACATACTGTACGTGGCATTAAGAGAGCCTTTAAAGCATGTTTCCGATGCAAAAGATAATAAAAACAGTCGGCATCCTTACATTGGTACAAAATTAACTCGAAATAAATATAATATATTAGTAATAATAATATATTAGTTTATTTGAAATTTAAAATAAAATAATTATGCCAACTTTCTTTTTAATAATAATTAAGTTAACAATATTAGTACTAGCTTCCAAATGTGTTCCATATGATAACTAAATATTATATAAATTAAATATAAATTTAAATAAATTCTTATACATATTTTGATATGAATAGTGTAAATAATAAATAATTTTAAAATAATTTATGTAAATATTTAAAAAATAAATTAATAAATTCATTTGTCAATTAGTTATATATATGAAAAGTATTAATTAGTAGTTGAATTAATTTAAGAAAAATGTAGACAATTTTAAATACTATTTTTTAAATTTAAAATCTTTTGAATTATTTAAAACTTTTTAATCTTTTGAATTATTTAAAAACCATGTAAACTTAAATGCATAAAACTATTTTCTTACTTTCTTTAATCATATTTTTACAATTCTTTATAAATAGTTAAAAATAAAATATTTGTACATTTATTTTATTATTTGAATTATATAAAAAAAAATAACGCTATTATTTAGATTGAGTTCAATAAAAATTATTTGTTTAAAATAAACAAATGGTTTTTAATTATTTATAGTTTTAAATTTATAATTTAAATTTATATTTTTATAATTTAAATTGATAATTTTTTAATTTGTATGTATATTTTTAAATTATATTAACAGATTTATTTCTACAAATATATAAAATTATATTTTATTAGATTTATTTTATAGCACAACTCAAAGTTACATTTTTTATTTATATTTATTTCGATTATTCTTATTTTATTTATAATTTTTGTAATTATTAATAACACAATTAATATGAAATGAATATTATAAGCTTAATATCTAAATATCTTAAATATTATAAAACTAATTAAAGAATTATGAATCTTTCAATATGTTTAATGACGGATTATTGCACTAAGCTTATTTCAGTTTCGTTAATTAGGGTCGCTAATCAGGATTTGTGTCATCTGTCTACGTAGTGCATAAATTCTATTTAAGAATGCTTTAAATGAAGCTTTATATATAGCTTTTTCAGTTTATTTAGTAGTTTTTTAATTATATACATATATCGACGGACGACATCGTGTCACAGTCGCTATTTTAATTATATTTATTTTTATATTTATTTATATATTAATTTAAGATACATCATATTGTAAAAATGAAATTTAAAATGAAAATAAATATACATACATACATACATACATATATTTGTGATATATGTATATATACTATGTGAATATATATATATCCATATATCTTATATATAAAACAGTTATCAAGCGGTTGGATCAAGACCGTACTCGAAAACAACTTTATATATTTTCCCAATATTATCTTAATGCGCGATGCCAATATTTATATTCTTTTGACGTAATACCACCGCGTAGAGTATTCATACAAGAATACTCATACAAGAATCCTTAATATGAATTTTAATTTCTCAGGGGTGTCTTTAACGGGTAACCATGGACTGCGTTATCACCTTAATAAAATGGGTCTGTCCAAAGAGAGATTGTCGACTCTGCTTAGAAGCAGACGAGACTTCCAGTCACATTCTCTGTGTCTGCCCAGCCTTGATCTTGGCCAGGAGGAGGTCACTGGGTCGAGAACTACTCTCCCCTTCTGACATTAAGAGGTCCTCAACGGCCGAAGAAGACTCAACGGTCTTCTATTCGATTAGAGTCTGTTACAGCACAAAAGATCAGTCTTGGTCGCAGTGTTCCGCGGGGAGCTGGTATCATGTTTATTCCTATTCTGTGTTCAAAATTCATTTAATTAAATAATGAAAAACAGTTAACTATCTATTGCAAGTGAATTATTGTATATTATTTGGTAATATCCAAAGGCTTCAGCGCTATATCTATATATGCTAGTTTTTAATTTTATAAACTAAATTATCATTATTAATAAATAAAATAAAATTTGATATGTTTATTGTTGCTTTATAGCATTAGTATTTGTGTGTAGCGTACAATTAAGTTATGTCTAATATAATTACATTAATAAATGATGTGAGTCTTTTTGGTTTATATTATACATTTAAAACTATTCTTATCTGAATAAAATTACACTCACTGGTAGATATTAATAATATTAATCTTATACTTAACATTAATACATGAACACATATTATATTACATTCATACATACATTTCTTATATCGAAGTTCAAGAAACAAACATATATACAAAATTAATTTAGCAAGTTTTCCTTTAGTTTCAAATTTTGAGTTTACAAAAATGTAAATAAGTAAAGCTTTTTATACAAAATATTATAAACTGTAAAATATATTAAAAACTAAATTTTGCCGGAAATGTATTAACGGAAACTATAGGCTTTAATATTTTTACAGTAGAAATAATTGCATTGAGAAGCACACAAGCAATTTAAAATTAACAACCGATTTCAAAAAATCATTTTGTAGATTTTAGATTCCTCGGATTTTTCGTTTTATCCACGTTCGTTGTTTTGGGCGGTGTGGAAGCAGTTTTCCGCTTTGTGTTGACTGAAGGTGCAACATATAGTACTTTATATTTTGGATATGTGGAGGATGCTTTGTTGACGCAACTCTTTCTGAATTGTTGATTGAGTTTTGCGGCAACACCGTTTACGCGATTGGAGTTTGTGAGTAAATCAAATGCATTATTTTTCATCACATCAACTAATTGCTTTCGCGTTCTAGGTAGTTTTGTGTCCCGAAGTTTTCTCACAGTCGCAGTCGCAGCTGTAGTTGTTGTTTGTTGTTTTTTAAAAGATTTTGGTGATATAGTAGTTTTCTTATCGACAATCAAATTTCTTTTACGTATTTCAATCCCCTGAGTTGTTTTGGGACCTTCTGTAGGGTTGGCTCGGTATGTTGGTATTACTTTTTTATTTGAAAAGTGTACCGCTGCGGGTGATGCTCCAGATGTCGTTTTTTGGACACCCGGCCTTTTCTGGTATGTTTTCAAAGGTGTTATGCATTTACGCCATTTTGGTGATGGTGAATTAGTTGTATTTGTTTTTAGCGAGTTTATTTGGTTCATAGTAGCTACATTTGTTGAGTCCATACTATTAGCAAAAACAGATAGTTGTGGCGTTGGAGGTAAATTAAAAGAAGATTGCAGTTCTTCAACTCTTTTGGGTGTGCATCTGACATATCTGACATTTGTAAATGCTTCTCTATAAAGTTTACGTTTTGCTCTTGGCGATTTAGTTGTTGCATTATTTAAGACGTTAGTTAATCTTTCTGCTACGGCATCTCGAGCTTGCTCAGGTGTAGGCAACGTTTCATTATTTGAAGCCGGTGTATCAATAGGAGTAACATTTTCCTTGTCAATTACAGGATCAGATGCCTGTATAGGAGTACTGGTCTGTACTGGAGAATTACGCAATATTGTCGTTACTCCATTATATAAACGCCAAGGTCTGGATTGTGGTTTATTAGTTTTCACTGGTGAGTTAATATGTTTAGCCGCTAGTTTTTTCTCCACACCACAGCATCGACGATTCGGCACGATATTTCTGAAACTTATCCGGCCATTTAAAACTACAGGCACAAATATTTCGGATTCCATTCCAAGGCTTTCTACGAGCACAACGTTTTGGCCCGATATTAACTTAATTGTGAATCTATGATTTTTTGAAGTCATGTTATACAAATAATTTTGACGAAAAATAAATCCGAAAATAATTTTGATAAAAAAATAAATGAAATTTATTTAAAATAGTAATCTTTATAAACAAACGACTTGACAAGTAAAACAAAAATGTAAACACACTCCAATGTACTTTTGTAGTTATTTCAAACCACGGCGGCTTTGTTTCATACTGCCCTCTGTTGTAAAAAATGAATAAGCAAATGATGCCACTCATTTGTATTTAAAAATTTGTATTTATTTTGTATTCAACACTTTATAACGGAATAACGGAATTTCAAGCTTCAAACTGCAAATTTTCACATATTACAATTTCTAATTAATTAATTAAATAATTTAATTTAATTTTAATATATATTGCTTTTAGTTTTGTAATCGCAATAAAGTTGGAAGAATTTTGAATGGAGAATACATACACTTTCAATTTTTATCCTTAAATTCAATAAAAATTATTATAATATAATATTTGTATAAATAACATATATATAGCAGTTTGAACTTATCTGTAATGGTTAAAAAAATTATACCCACAACTATATGTTACAATTATATGTTATAATTATATTATACAATTATAAATATAAATACTATTTAAAAAAGTGAATCTAAATGAAATAATTAAAAGTTAAAATAAAATAAGTATATATTAATGTATAAATATGGTTATCAATACATCAATCTTATGCATTGTTTGTTATAATTTCTTTCATTTTTTAAATGATTTTAAAAACACAGAAACATAGTAAAAAAAATTTATAACATACGAAATTACTCACTCGACACGTTCATAGTATTTAGGTAAGCGCCATTAAACACTCTAAATATATAAAAGGAAAGTAAATATATAATTATAAATCAATTTAATACATTTGTGAGATTAAAAATAGAAACATAATAGAAATAAACTTATTGAAATTTAAGTAAGTAATTTCTGTATATTTCAAAAGTAAATAAGTATAATATTTTACTTAAACATAATATTGGAAACATATTAAGCTAGAACTAATTAGAACTACAGCTAGAACTAATTATGTTGAAGAAATTAAGATTTGGTCGTTTCCATTGTCATGAATTAATTTATGTATGTGAAATAGCTTGTTTGTTTATATTTTACATATAAAAAATTTAAAAAATATTTTAATTTTGGTGCTTTCCTTGTGGAAAAAAATATTTATACATCATTGATTTATTTATATTGAGTCATTTATATGGGAAATTATTCTCATTACCATTCATCATATGTGTCGTTTATTTTAATATGAACCGTACCAAGTGCATTAACTTTTCAATGATTGTATTAAACACAGTAATGAGTTTGTGCATACAATAAACTAATTCTTATTGAGTGAAGTGTATATAAAAAGAATAAATTAAAAACAAACGTTTAGTTATAATTATAATTTATGTAATAGACTATTATTGAAAGAGTTTCATTTATATTTAAAAAAATTATCTATAATAATACATCAAATTAATAATTTGATTGATTTATTATTCAGCACGTCTAAATTATGTTGAGCTATTAGAGCAATAGTAATTAATTGCGTTGTCGATACAATAATATTCGAGATAAATGACTCAATTCAGCACAATAATTCATTCATTTTGATATTTGATACTTTTTTCGTTATAGTGTTTACATTAATTTTTAAAAAAGCTAATTAAACTCCATTTATTTTGAGGTGTGAACATACATATTACATAAAATTTATACATTGTAATGTACAGCATCAGGAACAAATGATTTTCATGTTTAACACAAATTTTAAACAATATTCGGAATATGACAAGAAACATTATTTCCAGCTAGTGGTAACGACAAATTAATTTAACAAATATGGCAACACTTTCCACACACGTGCTCAAAACAAAACAAAACACTCATACAGCTGCGAGAGAACTCCAATCATTTGTTGTTTTCTTATTAAACTAAATAAATAAATTGTTTCAAAATAGTGAAGAAATATGGAAAATCAAGAAGTTGAAATGGAATACATTGAAGCTGAAGATGATGAAGATTCAGATGATATGGAAAACGATAGCGATGAAGGCGAACCAAACAAACCAAAGGAAGTATATTTGCCGGGTAAACCTTTAGACAAGGATGAGGAATTGGTTTGTGATGAGTCTGCATATGTTATGTTACATCAAGCTTCGACCGGTGCACCTTGTCTCAGTTTTGATATTATACCCGATGAATTGGGAGAGACACGAGAAAAATTTCCATTGACTGCATACATGGTGGCTGGGACACAAGCAGCTCGCACACATGTCAATAATTTAATTGTGATGAAAATGGATAATTTGCATAAAACGCAAGATGATGATAACGATGATGATAATAATGAAGAGCTGGAAGACGATGAAGATGATGTGCCGAATAGAGAACAACATAAACAACCGAATATGACATGTGCGCTTATTAAACATCAGGGCTGCGTAAATCGTATACGCGCAAAACGTATCGGTAACACAGTTTTTGCAGCAAGTTGGAGCGAACTTGGACGTGTTAATATATGGAATTTATCCAAACAATTACAAGCTATAGAAGATGCACAATTGCTTAAACAATATGAACGTGAGGTGGCAAATGAACCAGTACAACCAGTTTACACATTTAGTGGTCATCAGAAAGAGGGATTTGCTGTTGATTGGAGCAGTTGTACAGAAGGTGTTTTAGCTACTGGCGATTGCAAGTAATTTTAGCTATAATAATATATATTCTAATACTAATTAATTTGTTGTTTTGTTTTAGACGTGATATACACATTTGGAGTCCACAAGAAGATGGCAGTTGGAAAGTAGATCAACGCCCTTTAGTGGGGCATACAGCATCTGTTGAAGACCTACAATGGAGTCCAAATGAAAGCAGTGTATTGGCTTCATGTTCTGTTGATAAGACTATACGTATTTGGGATTGTCGTGCCGCGCCACAAAAAGCTTGCATGTTAACCTGTGACAATGCACATCAGAGTGATATAAATGTCATTTCTTGGAATCGTACTGAACCTTTTATAGCAAGTGGCGGTGATGATGGATTTTTACATATTTGGGATCTACGTCAATTTCAAACTAAAAAACCCATTGCTACATTTAAACATCATACTGATCATGTCACTACTGTAGAGTGGAATCCACGCGATGCGACAGTTTTAGCTTCTGGCGGAGATGATGATCAAATTGCGCTTTGGGATTTAGCAGTTGAGAAAGATGCTGATCAAGAGGTTACACAATCACAAAACGATGATGAAATAAATAATCTACCACCGCAATTACTTTTTATACATCAAGGTCAAAAAGAGATTAAGGAACTGCATTGGCACCCACAACTCCCCGGTGTGATACTGTCAACTGCAAATAGTGGATTTAATATCTTTCGCACGATAAGCGTTTAGGTTATAGCTGGCTTTTTTCTCTGTTATTGTATAAACAATGGCTTGTTGATAAAATCTAATAAAATAACTCAAACATGATTGTTGGAAAAGTTATTATCTGAAATAACAAATACAAATGTATAAGTGTAAAATATGTATAATTTATTAAAATATGCAAAGCAAGTAATTTTGTAAAATTACAAATAAAAATCATAAAAATAACATTTTAGTTTATAAATATAAATCATTCATCCTGCTCTTCGGGATCGTTTTCATCATGTAACATAGCAATATTAACCAGATGGCGCATAGTAGGTCGACCATGAGGACAATTCTGTAAGCAAAATTGATTTATTAGTAATAGAAATTATACGAGCTTTTCTTATCTAAGTTTATAAAAATATATTTCTTAAAATATAGCAGTTACTAGACAGATTTTGTATGATGCAATTCATCCAGCATCTAAAAAATCTAGCTCGTAATTAAATTGCATTATGTTATATATATCGCTATCGCCTTCTTGATCTTCACAACTGCGATTAGCAGACAAGCGTGCATTGCTAATCTTGTGAAGCTTATCAAAGGTGTATAAATCATTCGATGTAAACAAGGTGGGAAGAGTTAAATAGCAGAGAATATTTCAGGTTCATGGCAAGTATGCAATGTGAATTATTTAGTTTGGTTGTTGTGCTTCAGTTGTACTCACTCAAACGCCGTTGTTGAACCTTAATATGGTAAGTACCTAATGACTTCTTGAGATATTTTTTTGTTAGAAGTTCTCTTGCTAATATTTCACATACATTAACAGGAAAAGAAAACAGGAGAATGGACTACACGTTTGGCAGTTACCGGTGTTGCTTTAACATTGGGTACAGCTTTACCAGGTGGCTACTGCATTGGAGTTATGAATAATTTAGCTACTGTATTTTCTCTGAAAAAAAAAATAACCTAACACATAAGAAAATATACAACAAATCTATTTGTAGGTAATATGCGATTGGTGCAGTGATGTGCTGCGCATGCAATATTCCGTAGTGCTCTCAGATGCTGCTATGAATACATTATGGTCGGCCATAGTTTCAGTATTTTTGCTAGGCGGTATTGTAGGTGCTATTGGTGGTGCATGGATGTCAAACAAATTTGGCAGGTAAAATCACTCGTTTAGTTGATTCTCATATAGGTAAATCAATCAATTTTCTTCTAAACAGAAAAGCATGTATGTTGCTTTGTGCAAGTCTTCTGCTCAATGGGGCAATACTCTTCTACTGTTGTCGCTTGTTTAAATCAGTTGAGCTTTTAGTTATTGGACGCTTTATAGTTGGCATCTCTGCTGGTTTAACAACATCAAGTTTGCCTGTGTATCTCTGTGAATTAGCCCCACTATCCTTACGTGGCACCTTAGGTGTACTAAATGGTATGGGTTTTACGGTGGGTGTGGTGGTTGGACAAGTTTGCAGTTTGAATGGCGTCTTTGGTGCAGCAGATAAATGGCACATCGCTATAAGTTTTTATGTTATTCTAGTTATCATTTGTTTTGCGCCAGTTTGTTATTTTCCGGAAAGTCCCAAATGGTTATACATTGTAAAACGGAATAATAAGGCTGCTCACAGGCAATTGGAACTGTTACGTGGACACGATAAGTCAGATGTAATAACAAAGGAAATTGATGAAATGGAAACCGAAAGAAACCTTAAAAATCAAACTAGCAGTTTTGGTGAAGTCTTAAAGAATCCAGCATTGCTGCTGCCTATATTCATAGTATGCGTTTATCAAGGAGGACAACAGCTTTCTGGTATAAATGCGGTAAATTAAAATATTTAATAATTGATGGAGATCTTATAATGGATTGTGTTTGTTTATTTAGATATTTTACTATTCGGTGTCGATATTTAAAAGAGCAGGAATGAGTGCTGAAGCTGCAGAATTAACCAATCTGGCCGTTGGTTTTGTTAATTTGGGTGTCGGTTTATTTAATCCCTATCTAATGGCTAAAGTAAATCGTCGTCCTTTAATGTTGGGCTCATCAATTTGTTGCGGCATATTTCTTTTCTCATTTGCTATAATGCTCAAGTATATGGTGAGTATAGAAAATTTTTTATTTAAAAATATAGAAGCATTTTTTTTTTTTTGGTAATACATATAAATAAATTATTTTTAAATAGATATTTCAATAATTTATAATTCAATAATTAAATCGATTTTTAATATCGGTTTTTACGAAAGAAACTAAATTCTTAATATAAACTATTGAGAGAGGTTTTTATGGAACAGTAGTGAATTGCAACAACAACATTTTTTTTTTATTATTCTTGTTTTTTTTGGATTTTTGTCTGAAATACCCATCATTAGTGCTCTTGGAATTAAGACCACTTCACATCTATTGAAAAAAAACTTTAGCCTTCAGATAATTTTATATAAAATAATCCTACGTTTAATCCTAATAAAGTGAAACTCTATTACCTTTTTTATTCAATAGGATTACATTGATTGGTTTGCAACTGGCTGCATAGCTTGTATTTTCCTATATATAATTGCATTTCAGTTAGGTATTGGACCAATACCACCATTTATTGCTTCAGGTAAATTGGAATAATCATTTTATACAATACATATACCATACTAGTATAATATTATAATTTTTTTAGAACTTTTTGAAGTTGCACCGCGATCTGTGGCTATGTCTCTGAGTAGCATATCTTGTTGGGGTTGCTGTTTTATTCTTTGCATGGCTTTTCCAACTCTACAAGTAGCTTGGGGTGCTTGGGTTTTCCTACCATTTTCAATAACGTGCGCGATATTATTTGTAGTCACTTATTATTATCTACCGGAGACAAGAAATCGAGATATATCACAAGTGGCGCGCTCAATCTCAAATGGATTTAAATCCAAAGTACGATGAATTTTTAAAATAACTGAATTATATTTAATTAATAGTTATAATGTATTTATATTGTTTGTATATAATAAAAGTAGTAGTGGTACAATAATTGAAAAGGCAAGACAAGATAATTACCACCTATATTATAAGAAAGAACTATATTATTCGATATACATCGGTCTTCCAAATAAAAAATCAAATAAAAATTTTTGATACTGTGAACATTTTCTTCATAAAATAAAAATTGTTATGAAACCGAACCTCTTTGAGATTGAATATTTTTAAAAATTGGATCGTATACCGCATATTATTACTATATAGTTATGTTATGATACTGGCTCGTTGTGATGCCATAGACAAAGCTTTTACTTCAGACAGAAATAATCACTTTAATGGTTGTAATTACCTTACTAAATGATTGGTAGTAGTTGTTACTGAATTCTTTCTCTGTTCTGAATTTTTTAAAAAAGATTAAAACGCTCAACGATATGTGGGCATCTGTTATCAATTTGGGTACGTTACATTAAAAGAAAGTCCAATTCTGTCATTGAGATGCTCCGCAGAGATGTCAGTCTTGTGGTAGGATTACGTACAGGTCATTGCAGATCAGGTAACCATGTTAGAAGATTGAATCTCTCTATCAATTATATTTGTCGCAGTTATGGAAAGGTGGATGAAAACGCCTCCTATCTGCTTCTCTTAACACTTTAAGGAATTTCTGTTTTAAGAATCATGGCCAACTACAAGAACCTCTCTTAAAAAACATTATAAACGTTGCCAAAGGTTCAAAGTGGTTTTAAACCTCTGACTATTTCCGCATAGGCTAATACAATGGGCCTAAATGGATTCCTAAGGAGCGACGATACAATCTGCAACAACCCAGTAATTGCGTTCTTTTGAGAAGATACGACTCTACCATTTAAGTAAATGAAAAACAACTTGGTAAGTTGCCTCAAGTTTTTAAACCTAAAAACTTTGATAAGCCCCTAATTTGAAGAAATAACCGCTTCAAGGTACTTAGAAGGGGTCCTTAAGAACGGGTATCTGGACCCATTTTCTAGCGAATGATAGATACTAACACAAGAGTCCAAGTACAGTTTCGTCGTCTTTTGCAAAGCCATAATACCGACAAAAGTCGTTAGAGGATAGAACAAGTCTTATTGCATGCTGTTCTAACCAATAATGACCTGTCAGCAACGATATCGTAATACTGAGTTGGTCCGGCTTTAGTTTAAGTAACTAACTGATACTAATTTGTTACAGTTTGAACCATATAAGTTTCGTAGTCAGATTTATATATGCAAGCTTTCCTTGCTAACCCTTGGTATTTATGTTCAATTGTCAGTTTAATAATTGAAAGAGTGATACTAATATCCGAGAAGCGAAATTTGGAAAGTATAGTATGTAGTGATTGTATATTATTTCTACCTACCCATGGTTGTTCTATTTCTCCCATGTGTCTTATAAGTGTTTTCATAGTTGACTTATTCAATGCCTTTCCAATCATAACAGACTTGCGACATGCCCTTGATGCAAACATAGCTCGTACACGGGAAGGTCGGCACACTGTACCTTCAGGAGCATCATGTAACATAAATATAAGTTCGTCAATATCTTCCTTGCCAAATTCCCAATTTTTACTAACAGGCTTTCCAAGCAATCGTACTTTTTTAGTAGGTGGTGCTGAAAAAATAAAAAATATATAATATTAAGTTATAGAATTGTTATAATTATTATTAAGTTTATATAATAGAGATATAACTTCCAAAAAAGAAGAGAGATTAATGCTTTTTAAAACACATTAGCATGCTACTAATATCAAATACGATTATGGTATTACTGTAGCGATTTAAACAACAGACTGGGGACGAAAGCTTTAAAATGAGCTAAAGATAAATATGAATATAATTTCTAAATTAAAACTTTAATACCAAATGTCAGCACCCAATTTAAGTTAATGAACTTTGTGCCTTTCTGACAACTCAGTAACTGGTTTCAATGGGGTATGTGTGGTGGGACGGATAAATATACTTGCAGACCCATGACTATAATTTTATTATTGCACTGGCAAAAAGTTCTGATAATATAAAAATAACACTGTTAGGTGGTATGTAGTATATAGATGTCTGGCGAAAAAGTTAAGCACATGGTTAGATTTTACAAATATAGTTTTATGCGAGTCTTCCTCAACTCTTCCACTAACAGATTAATATATTTTTTTTATCAAAAAGACATATCTGTGAAGTATTGATGCTGCTCTTTTGAGCAAGTTCTTGAAATATTCAGATTTCAATCATATCAAAATATAGTTCTCTAAGAAGACTAATGAACACCCCATGGCTGTGTAAAATAGTTGAAATTCTTGCGCGAATTCGATTTCCCGATTACATCGGTTTAACAAGAAACTTAGTGGATTCTGCTATTTAGCAACTTTTTGAAATATTGTAATATAGTTCTAAGAAGTCTAGTGAAGGCCCAGTGGCTGTGTATAATTGATATGAAATTCTTGACCGATTCTGGTTTCACGGCTACAAGGCTGTAATAAGAGATTTAGTGGATTCTGCTATTTTGAGCAACTTCTCGATATATCAAGGTTAGAATCATTTCAAAATATAATTCTAAGAAGAAATATAATTCTAAAAACTATCAATTCATATATCATATTCAATATATGCTGATATATCATATTTTTGATATCATAAAAAAATAATTTATTCTAGTCAATATAATCAGAACTAATCACCACCATAAGGGACTAAAATTGGTTTAAATACTAACTCTAGGATAAAACCACAAAAAGATAAGATAAACAATACCTAACAGTTAGTTGGGGCATCAGCCGGCTAAAATGTAGTGGGAGCAAGTGGCTATGTGAATATAAAAATGATTTAAAGATTTTTCGAATTTGGTGCATATAGCTGGACATGTTGAGTCCCGTAATTAAACAAGGGCACACAACTTCATGAGAAGAAAACGGGATATCAAAATTACAACTGGGGAAGTAATTCAACATAATATATGTTAAAATTCAAATCTGAGATTCAAACGAAGTCGAGTAGATTAAACAGAGTAAATCAAAAGTTATTTATCAGTCTAAAGTTCATAATCATTTTAAAGCTAATAATATTTCTGGAACTGATACCTCATCCCTCGAAATTCAATGAACTACGATACCAGATGCTAGATACCATTCAGAAATTATTCGGAAGCAATAGTAAACATATTACATATAATCAATTAAATATGTGTTAATATTTGGTTCTGACTTACCGTCTTGATCGATTTGAAATTTAAAACCATTCTTTTCGAAAACCTCCAAATTATCAAGTAGGATCATTTCATTCACAGCTGTCAGTTCCAGTTGTTGTGGTACAGCAAGTGGCTGATTTTGCAATACAGTCGTGGACTGCAAAGTCTCAAAATTATACTTTTCATCGGTGGCATGCTGATCGACAATAAAGAGATCTGCATCTAATTTAACTATAATGAAACCCAAATTGAATTGACCAATTATTTCCATTGTAGCAAATGAGTCTTTTGATATTTCCTTCTGTAGTTCTGCTTCAGCATTTTCATTTTGACTTGGACTGATATCAGTTTTAAAACGTAATTTATCCAGTTTAGCTTTGTTTTTCATCGATTTTTTCAATGTCGCTTCAGCATTCAAACCAAATTCTATTTCAGCTATTGTTGTACGCATCTGTGTGTTAGAAAATATATTTCTCTGAGCATTATCAGAATCGCTATCTAATTTTATTATTTTTGTTTCTGATAATGGTACGATTTCTTCACTAACACTATCTGTGGATTTCTCTGAGTTCAATACGTTGTCTTCTGCATAATCAACTGGTTTAGGTGCTATAATTTTTATTTGTGGTTTCGCTGGTGTTAATACCTTGCAATCTATGCGTTCAACAATAGTGGATGAGTTGAGTAAAGATTTTTTTGTCAGTGCATCATATTCTGTAATATAGAGAAAATAATTAATATTTTTTATTTTTAGTTCACATATAGATATCATATTGATATCATAAAGACAGTTCAATAATATCAAATGATTTCCAAATCATACAATATTGTTGTTATTATTATTGTCGTAATTCGAAGAGATCTACTGGTATTTTCCGAAAATCTCTATATTAACCAGAACGAGTACATAAATCATGTTTTTATTTCTCAATCAAACCAGACTAGTTCCATGTTCCAAAAACGGCTGGCTCTTCGGCTCGGAACCAGTCTTCAGTTTCGACAACTAAGTGTTATTCACCATCCCTCAAAAGGATTTTACGAGCAGATCCCTACGGGCTAACACAATAACAATTGGTATTTTCCGATGTGATTAGGTTTGCATATTTCCACCACCATCCTCTGTCCTCATACCTTTTATACCCGTAGAGTCAGCTTGGAACAATATCTAATCTTGACAAAATGCAGTCTTGCAGATTTGGACCAGTTGCTATCGGATGTTTTATGTTTACTCTCTTCAAGCATAATGAAAAATGCTTCTTGTAAAGGAGCATAATCAACTACTTTCTAAGCAATATAAGCTTGTGTGCTTCACAATTTGAGCAACATAGAGCCCTCTTTTTATTAAGCATTCGTCGATCTCTTTTTAAGTGTCTTGAATATATCATGCCCAATATCTCAAAAACTAAGTTATATTAATATATAGCGTAATTGAAAGTTAATTAGAATAGCGTGTCCGAGACAAGATGTTGTCAGTCCGAATGCTCTAGAAATCGAACTTCGTCATCAAATTAATTAAATAAACGACTTTAGGTATTTCAATTCCCTCTACAGAATAATAATCATCCTATAAACATAACACATATGTTGTTTACGCTTTCAAGAATAATTTAATATTAATGACAAGATTGTAAAACGCCTAAGTAACATTGTAAAAGAATGTCTAATACAAAAGTTGCGCCATCTCTTATTAAATTTAAAAAACTAAGTTAAACACCCAATGAAAAGAGGTGTAAAATGATAAAAATTTCTTAAATATTTACCTGCAGAGCATTTATTAATTTTTTCAATATTAAAAGAACTGTCATTCTTTGATTGATTTCCAGCTTCGTCATCATCAGTATCACTATCGGATTTAAAAGCGTACAGTTTATTAGCTTCCTCTCTAGATTGCGTTAGAAAGCTTTGTATTTTCTGTAATTTTTGTGATTGTGCATTTAATTCTTCTTCAGACTTTCTCTTGGCCGCCGCCAATGTGGGTGGAGGTTTGCTTTCAGTATTTCCAGTACGTTTCCATTGCGATAAAGCCGATAAAAAATTTTGCGCTGTACTTATAGGTACAATACTTTCATCGACTTCAACTTTAATTTTTGGTTCCACCTTAATCATGCTCATTATTGACGAGTTTTGTACTTTATATGTCGACGGTATATTTCCGTAAGTATTAAGTAAAGCCTTTTTAATCATAATTAGTAGAATTTTCTCATTATTAACCAATAGCTGACGTTTATCAGGTGTTAAATTAACGTCAACATCTGAATGTGCCAACAATACGTTTAAATAGACAAAAGGATATTGTTGTACATTATAACGATGATACACATCATTGACTGTCTTTGCAATCTAACGAAGAATATATAAATTAATATAATAAAATAATAATTATTAGAAAAATACACACATTTCTTGGATCACAAGGACGATTATTTATATAGTAGTATTGTCGATCTTTTGCTGCACGGCCTGAACCATGACTACAGCTGGAAACAATACCGTCAAGTTGAAAATTTGCTGCTTTTAAGAGTTCCACATCTTCATTGGAGATTTGCATGCTATCGCCAGTGTCACTAGTTAGGTCAGCAATAATGCTCTGCTCCGTTGTGGTTTCATTTTCATTAAATGCTGATTTCAATGCTATGACATCTGCTACTTGCTTGCTGCCAAATATGGCATTTATGTTTGCTAGCACACTCTGTGAACCATGAGTTTGCATAATGGTCGATCTATTGCCTTTTGCTGTTTGATTGGTGCAAATGATGCGTACACCTTTGGACACTAAACAATAAGCTTGCAACATTTGACACATTTTGGAGAACTCCTTTTTTATATTCTTTGTAAAATCTCTTTTACGCACTGGTAATGTGGAGAATAGATTTGTCAACGTTACTGTGGTACCAACTGGACGTGCACACGCTGAACGTTTCTTTATTTTCCCTTCATGGTCCAACTCAAGTTTAATACCTTAAAGTATTTTTTATAATTAATAATTATTATCGCTCTAATTATTTAATATTGTTAAGTAATTTTGATCGGGCTTCGGGTCATGTAACCTGGAAATGATTTAGCCGGTAGATTGAAATGTATGCAATAAAAAAATTTAAGGGACTTTAAACAACGAAATGTTTTTTATTTTATTAATTTTTTGTATCGACTTAAAACCCGATTAAAATTAATTGATTAAATTATTATTGATTTTTAAAGGAGATAATTTCAATAAAAATTTAATATGATAATAATAAAATAACAATATCTACTATAAATAATAAACAATAATATAGATTAAATTAAAAATTGATAAAATTAATAACTGATTAAATTGATAATTGATTAAATATTATTTATTAAATAGATTCTATTAATAGAGATTTGAATTGATAATAGAAAAAATTATAATATCAATTATCAATAGTAATCAATAATATAGATTCCATTAATAATTGATTGATTGATTTAGTACTCGATTAAATTAATAATTAATTAAATTATTATTGATTTGTTAAGGATATTATTTTAATAAATAATTTGAATTGATATAAATAATATAATAAAATCTCTTATAAATAATAATCAATAATTATATATAAAATTAATAATTGATTAAATCAGTTACTAATTAAATTTTTAATTGACTAAGTCATTATTAATTTATTAAATAGATTATTTTAATAAATTATTTGAATTGATAATAAATAAAATAATTTACTATTTAAAAATGAATATTAGATCCAAGTGTTGTCTCTAGAATTTTGTGGATGTATACAAGATATAATATATTAATATTTAAAACTACTTATATGCAATAGATTGAAAATTTAGACTATGTGAGCTATATGTTACAGGACACTGTAGACTCAATTACCATATGAAAAAATATAGGTGTGGTATAAAGTGATTCCTGTCGACTCTCTCATGAAGAGATGGAATGATCAGAATATATTCTGTGTAACTGCCCAGCAGCGACATAACGTAGACTTAAATACCTTGGAAGCGGCATCTCAGTCCCAAATTAAATAGGTGAAATTAAGCCCACAGCAATTACGAGATTTATAAATTGTCTACAACTAAAACAGTTGGGCCTTTAGGTGAAAAATAGATCTTTTAGGTCAGAGTGCATTCATTGCCTATTATTATCACTCCATTTCAATTGGAGTTCATTAGAGATATTACTAAAATATTTTACTTTTTATAATATTACTCACCTACATCTGTGTTTTTATGTCGCGTTACAATAGTCATATCAGATAAAGCACACAAAGAACTCAAAGCTTCTCCACGAAAACCAAAAGTCTCCACGCCTTGCAAGTCCACGAATTCCCTGATTTTCGATGTATGATATTTAGCAGCTAACAAAAGTAAAAGTAGACAAACTCATATAAGTCAATATATGTATATATCTTTATAGCAACAAATCGCACTTACTCATTCCTTCTAAATTGTGCTCCTCAACACCACTGCCATTGTCACTGACTTCAATGGATTCCAGTCCTTGATCTCGTAATTTGATTTCAACAATAGTAGCCCCTGCGTCAATACCATTTTCTACCAATTCCTTAACAGCAACTGCTAAACTCAAAACAACTTGACCAGAACATATTTTATGCACTGAATCCTTTCCAATGGCTTTGATTTTACCGGAAACTTCTGTCGTGGGCTCCGGTATGCATGCGTCGGTTGCTTCAGATTCCGTCATTATCAATAATTATTTTAAAAACTCAATAAAATATATAACAAAATTAAAATTTATTTATACTATAACTTTTCACACTATATAATGACAAAATTGTTTTTTAAAATATTAAGCAAAAATAAAATTCAAGTTTTGTTAAAAATGTAAACAAATTAGTAGGAAATTATTTCGCGGGATTTATTCAACAGGGTTGTTTTATGTTTAGCACTGAAATAATACAGTGGTCTTCAGAAGTTATGGTATAAGTCAAAACTAAATCAAATCTGTAAAATGTTTTTATTATTGATACAATTGTTATTAAATATATCCCATGTTGCATATTGGAAAAAATTTAAATTCGTAAAAAATTTTAAATATTTTTGATAAGAAATTTTTAACATAATATGTGGATATAAATGAAGATATCTAATATATCATAGAATATTAGATAACCTTTTTGCCATATAGTTCTTTTTTATAAGTGAGTGAGTTAGTGGGAAGCATAGAAAGCCACAGTGTGAAACTTAAACCCACTAAAATCATCTCTAAAGATAACAAAACAGATCAATTTTATTGAACCCTTATTTTGGTAATCAATGAAAATATATTACAAATAGATGTCATGCTACCCATCGTGATATTCAAAATGAGTTAATGGTTATGTCAAACGTATTAACGTAGTGATTGTAATACTATTAGGTGCTAAACGTATAGATTTTGATTGTAGTAGTAATTATGTCCAAATATTAAGTGTGAAAAAAGTTGTGAAGTGAATGAAATGAACAGAAAGGAACAAATAATCAATCAAATAGCAGTTAATCTTAATAGATGACCAATAATGGCATGGTTTTGATTCCCGGGAACGTTTCTTTAACGACGAAAAACAACTTTTTCTTCTATGTTATATATCAATATAGCTGAGTTTTCAAGATATCAGGCTGTAAACTTAGAAATATAGCATACAGCGTAGTGGAAAAAGTTGCTTTCTTTCTCAAATCAGCGTACTCAGGATATCGGAAGCGCACCATATCTAATATTGAACTTTTATTTTTAAGTGTAAGGCAGGATAAAACCAAGGCATTCAGTTAGTTGACAGATTAGACTTCTTTAATTTCTTAAACTGAATATTAAGTTTTACACATTTAATATCTATAGTTTATATTCGTTATAGCTTATAGGCAAATACTCAGGTCTAGCAAGATTAAAAGATTCAATTAGGGAAACCTACATACTAACAATCGAAAAATAATCTTCTTTATCAAACACATACTTTCGAACTAAATACCAGTTTTCGGGACCAAATACCAGTTAATCTTAAGCTATAATCTTAGCCAATTAACTCCTATAACATTTCATCAGTTGATGATACGGTTTCTATGGGCTTTCAATAAACAAATAAGTATTTCAAATTAAATTAATGAATTATGATATACAAACGCGGTTCTCAATTGGAATGTATCACCACGTTTATGTCAGTTCCTGATTTCGGCTCTTAAACTTCAGAAGATTCACGATTGAAGCCTAAGCTAGATAAGCCTAGGTTACCTTCGAGTATCTCCTTTTAAGGAAAATTCGTAGGGTGCTCTGGTAGTATATCTGCTCTACAAACAATCCCAATCTCCTAATTTAAAAGCACGATTCTTTTTAGGTCGAGGGCACAAGATTTACATATTGTGGATTTGCAATCATAAGGACATATCTAGTAAAGTGATTTCTTGCATTACCTTAGTAACTAATATTAGCGTAGTTTTTAGATTAATCTGTTTTTATTGTGTATATGTATACAATCAGTACTATAAGAATTCTGGAAGGTTTTAGTGGTTATTACATTATTGTAGAATGTATAGTAGAACACATTGAATACATTTAAATTTGTTAGTTTTTTCTTTATTTTTGAAAGTACAAGTGGTTTATGTAAATTAATGTGTATGTTTATAATAAAGTACGTCTAGAGAAACATAAATAACTTTCATTATTCTATTTAAAACAAATTTAAACAAGCAAAAAATGGTCCTCAAAAGTCACGAATTTTTGAAAATTAAATTCAAAATATCATAACATCATATATAAAAATTAATTAATTATAATGACATTAACTATAATTGAAATGAATTAATTATAATATTAATTCTAATTTATATTAATTATACTTTAAATTAATTATAACATTATTTATAATTTAAATTAATTACATCATTTATAATTTAAATTAATTATAATATCATTAGTAATTTAAATTAATTATATCATTTATAATTCATATTAATTATATCACTTATAACTCAAATCAATTATAACATTATTTATAGTTTAAATTAATTATATTACATATAATTTAAATGAATTATATTATAAATTATATATAATTAAAATTAATTATATTAGTATAATTAAAATTAATTATATTAGTATAATTAAAATTAATTATATTAACATAATTTAAATGAATTATATTATATATAATTAAAATTAATTATATTAGTATAATTAAAATTAATTATATAAACATAATTAAAATTAATTATATAAATATAATTAAAATTAATTATATAAATATTACTCAAATTAATTATATTAATACAATTAAAATTAATTATATTAACATAATTAAAATTAATTATATTAACATAATTAAAATTAATTATAGTATAATTAAAGTTTATTATATTTTAATTTATTATATTTTAATTTATTATATTTTAATTAATTATATTAATATAAATCAAATTAATTTTAATATTAAACTTAATTTAAATTAATCATAGTGTCATATAATTTAAATTATTCATATTATATATAATTTGAATTATAATATCATATATAATTATAATATGATATATTTAATAATATTATAATTTAAATTAATTATGATATTATATATAATGGAAATTAATTATAATATAACATATAATTTAAATTAATAATATTATAACTATTAATTTAATTAATTACATTTTTGCAAGCAATTTTTAAAGATTATATTTAAGTAATTTATAAATATAATATAAAAATACCATTTTTTTATCCTTCTATATTGCTATTATCCTTCTACATATATGACATAAAATTGTATAAATATGCATATAAAAAATATATTAGCTGTCTGAAAAATTTTAGAATTTAATATAAATTATAAAAATAAAATAAATTTTTAACACATATATTAAATTGTAACAAATAAAATAAGAAATAGTAAAAATACTACAACGACGAAAAAGAACTTATGTCAATTTCTTATATTATCCAAATGGATCATAGGCCATTTATTCCTTGCATTTGTCAAATAGGTGAGTGCTATTTACTCTTTGAATTTGCTAGTTCTTCTAATTTTTTGATGACCTCATTCATTTCCAAGTTCTTATCAATTTTAAGATACATAGTTTTGCGTACTTCATGAAATGCAATCCATTCTGGGATTTCCTTGGCGATCAGTTTAAGATGCGCCTCAATCTCCTGCGGCAGCAAAGAGGTACGGAAACTGTTTTGTATTTTTTTAATGATAATTTCCAACGTCAGAACCCCTTTGCGTTCCGTGATGAAAACATTACGTAAATGCCTCGCCATTTCTGGTAATCTAGAGTACTTAGTCGCTTCTTGATCCTGTGAAGGGCGACGTGTCATTGCATCCAGCGCTTTAGCAGCTTGTTTTGCACGTATTTTCTCCAGCAGAGATTTAGGCACACCTTTCAATAACGTGGTCGTGACATCAATTGGCGCTGGTTGCATTGCTGTTGGTTGTGATGTATTGGTAGATTGTTTAGTTGTAGTTGCTGCCAGTGGATCTGTTTTGCTTGCTAACAGCTCTCCACCCGTACTTGTGGTTTGTGTAAAACTTATTGTTACGTTCTTTTGGTTATTAATTAAATTTTCTGTTGCAATGCGTTCTGCCTCAACTTTTGCTTCGTAACGTTCTAGCGCACGTTCCATAGGTGTGGCACAATTGAATAGATTCCTTGCCGTGGAAAGTATATCACGTGCGGAAGAGTATTTCTCCATGTTAGGTGGTTGTGGCAGGCGTGCGCACTCAATTTCGTCACAATTTTCTAAATCAAAATCTGGATGCCAGCGCGTTATCTTATTTTTTGGTATTGTTAGTGGTGGTTCCAGTGATTTTAAGAACTTATTATGCTCATCCTTAACGCGTTCTAAAAGTATACATTGGAAACGTTGTAAACGTTCTGTCATTACTTGTGGATTCATAGCAGTACTTTGTCCACTAGCTAGTATATTGTCCTCATCGATCTTGGTCATAGTTTGTTTATCGGACGCATTTTCCACATTAGGCACAACCACTAATTGGAAGTAATCGGCCTTGGAAGCGGAACCATAATTACGCATTTTCACTTGTGTAAAGTTGTAAGCTTCTGGATACAAATATTTTATTTGTGCCAAGTGCGATTCATGGAAATTCTTGCGAAGCATACGTTGTACAGCGGGTTTAAGTTTCTTAAATGTGATGCATTCTTTGCGGTTATGGAACATAGCACACACTGAGTCCAATCCTTTAAAAATTTCTATTAAATGCCTGTACTTGAAGGGTAGCGGCAATTGTCCAGCTTTGCTTGTCTCAATCAGACTTAAGAAACGTTGATAAGCTGGCGGTACCACCAACTTTGAGGGAGTACCATTTTTAGCGGGACTAAAGAGCACACGTTTGGATACGTCCGTATGACGTGGTGACATAAGCTCATTTTTGTTTGGTGTTGGTGGTGTCCGTTTTGTAGGTGTTTTGTGTGTTTTTGAGGGACTGAAATGGGAAAAAAGGAAAAATTTACATTAAAAGAATGTTAATAAATATGAATAATTAATATTTATATAATATGGATATATATTTTTCTATTCAAAATGTCTTTCTCATTAAATAATAAATTTTTTTACAAATTTTGGATACGTAAACAATGTCATTATTGTTGTAGCTCGTAAAGAACTGCTTTTGTGGTCTTTATAGGGAGTGTTGAACAGTACTAGGTCATCGAAGTTGACAAGTGGTTACGGAATCTAGACCCTGCTGTTCTTGGAACGCAAATAATAGTACTTCTCAGTTTAAGAAATAAAAAATTTTCTTAAATTAAGCTTTAATTTACAAACCTATAAGACTTTATCTCCTATATTCATTATATTATAAATTATTTTCTTATTAGAAGTGTTCGAAGTGGTCTTATGTTAATCTAGAAGAACAACTTCATTATCTCTAAATTTTAATTTTGCAAATATCACTTTATTTGAGATATGATGAGATAATTGCACTATGACTTATAATATGTTAACGATCGTCTCTTCTTTATAGACCTATTCCCATATCATTAAAGTCTGTTTTAATTTTATTTACATAAAAATAACAAAAATATTGTTATCAGTCTTAATTATTACTTATCATAAAGTTTCAATATTGAAGAAGTAGACTCCTGACAGACCCTCAAAACAATCACAGATCAATTTGTGTTATTGTGATCATCAACTACAATTTATAGCTTATTTATAACAACATCTTCACCATATTTTATCAGTGCAAAAAAAAAATAATTCTAAATAAGTTTTACATGCTTTATTCAAGCACTAAAACTAATGAGTTACATAAAGTAATAGTAATAAATATAAGTTTGACCTTAATTAACAGTGTGCTTGGATTCGTACAGACGTGCACTGTAAATATTTATAATTGGCTGATTTAAATCCGAAAATTATTCACAATAAACAAGTTTATATATATTGCTCTAGAGGAAAAAACGGGACCCAAAACGAACAAAATAAAATGCCGAGCAGTTCGGTATTTCATTACATAATATCGTAATATATAATATCGTATATTTGTATATATCAAATATATCTTATAATCATAGCGAATATAGTATATTTGTTTATATCAAATATATCTTACATACATAAAATATACGTTCGCAATTAGATATATATTTATATAGATATCGATACAGGTATAGCTGTCGATATAGATAGATTTATATATATAGATTTATATATATATATTTATATATATGTATTTATATATATATATTTATATATATATATTTATATATATATATTTATATAGATAGATTTATAGATATATATAGATAGATTTATAGATACATATAGATAGATTTATAGTTATATATAGACATATTTACAGATTTATAGATATATACAAACAGATTTATGGATATATATAGACATTTTATAAATACATATATATAGATTTATAGATATATATAGACAGATTTATAGATACATATAGACAGATTTATATATATAGACAGATTTATAGATACATATAGATAAATTTATAGATATATATAGACATATTTATAGATATATATAGACAGATTTATAGATATATATAAACAGATTCATAAATATATATAGATATATTTATAGATATATATAGACAGATTTATAGATATATATAAACAGATTCATAAATATATATAGATATATTTATAGATATATATAGACAGATTTATAGAACATATAGACAGATTTATAGATATATATAGACAAATTTATAGACATATATAGACAGGTTTATAGATATATATAGACAGATTTATAAATGTATATATACAGATTTGTAGATATATATAGATAAATTTATAGGTATATATAAACAAATTTATAGGTATATAGAAACAAATTTATAGACAGATTTATAGATATAGATAGACATATTTATAAATATATATAAACAGATTTATAGATGTATATAGAATTATGGAAATATATAGATAGATTCATAGGTACATATAGATACATATATATGGATAGATTTATAGATATTTATAGATATATTTAAAGATATATATATATAGATAGATTTAAATATATTGATTATATTGACATATATAGATTTAGATATATTGTTATTAAATATTATTAAATTTGAAATATTTATATGATATATATACTACATATACATCTAATAAGTACATATATTATATATTATATTATATATTATTAATATTATATATTATTATTATAATATATACATACATTATATTATTATTATTATTATCTGAAATGTTAAAATTATGAAATAGTGTACTTTCTTAAAAAATTATATTATTTAATTTAGGTTTATAAAACCTACAACAAAAATATTTCACAAAAATAATTTTTTTTTGTTTAATTGGGAAAGTATGAATCAGCTAAAATGCAAGCCAAGGCCAGTGTCAATATAAAATAAAAAACCTCAGAAATTGGTGGATAGAAAATATACCAAATATATATAAATTTTTTTTTTATGAGTTTTTTTTAAGACTCATAATGGATTATATAAATTATTTTTATACCACATAAATAGGTAGCAAAACTCTTTTCATAATAATTCGATCATCTATAAAAGGGAAAACATAAATATCTTTTCTTTGTTAAAAGAAATTCGATTTCAAATCTAATTAAGTGAATTTCACATATACAGATATATCTTTTATATACAGAAAAAGGGATATATATGTATGTATACGCAATCTGCTAAACACATATATATGAAAAAATTCGTTATTCCACATGACCCGTATGTTTTCTCACAAACGAGTTTTCCTTCTACCTGAATGTTAAGCTAAAATAAATATAAAATTTTTATTCCAAGAAAGAAAGATATGGAAAAGGAATACATCTATGAAAATGTAACTGACTACTACATGAGGAAACTACCCTTGAATTGTAAGGATAAACGTATGTATCTTCTCTTATTTCTGGCCGTTACAAGTTGTTTGCGAAGACAATAATAACAACAACAACAACACGAAGAAATCATTCCTTCGTAAATGGCATAGAACCTTGTCTTTATCAAATGAATTTATGAAGCAAAAGACTGACTTATCTAATTGTTAAATCAGCATAATTTCCACACGAAGAAATAATAAAAAAAAAAAATATTAAATAAAAAAAATAGTAAATATACATTTTTCTAGCATTCAAGAGATATTTGTCGTTAAGATATTTTTATGTGGCTTGGAGACGACATCGACAACGACAACGACGGCGATGACGATGACTCTCTGCTCGCAACAAATGCAATTGCAGCATTTTAACGTAAGTCCAAAACTATGAATTAAAGCAAAAATAACTTTAAAGCCATCGAAAAACAATATAAAAATAAATAATAAAATGACCTCAATTGCTGCTGAATGGTTAAAATGTTTAATGTTACCGGGTTTTTCATTTGTAGGCCATGTTGTCTTTTAGCGACTACGGCAATAATGGAATTTTGTACTTTATATTTTGTGGAGAGCACGAAAACCAGGTTAAAACAAATTATATAATAATTAAATAGGACTAAAATAATATTAAGACATATAATGAGAGACACATACTTAAATGAGATAGAGATATATACGTAGAACTATCTTCTAAATTATTATTATTTTATAAATCTCAAGCCTTACCTGGTAAGAATTTCTAGTTCTATGGTATCGAATTCTTTCAGTTGCACAACTGGGGTTTTCTTAACTTCGGTAACACCCTCACGTAAGAGACGATTGCGTTCCTCCTGTGCTTTACGAGTTTTCTCCAACTCTTGTATGCGTGACAGAGAGGCTTTGAGTTCTTGCAATTTAGCACTACGTGAAACTTTTGTCTTAACTTCGTCAAAATTTAGTTCCTTTTTAACCAAACTCTTGAATTCGCTACGTTTAATGGGCGTGGAACCCTTGATGATTTGTTTGGTTGGTGTTTTAAAGCCCCTTTGCACATTGGTTATACTGTTTTTGTCAGCGAATGCAGTGGCAATTATATTTGTTTTTGGCGTCTCTTCATTGAGTTTTTGCATTTCACTAGTTTCAGAGTTCGTACATTTCTTACGAGGTGATAGTGGTCCTTTCTTTATGAACTCTACCAGTTTTTTCTGTTTTGAACTTTGTTCAATTTTTGAGATCTTCTTGGGTATAACATCTTTAATATCAATTTGTTGTGCACCAATTCTTTTAACCTTACGGCCTGAACGTGTGCGTAGTTCACCAGATGACGCCTTCTTGAGTAAAGTAATTTCATCATCGTGCGGGATGTGAGTAGATTGTGAAGTAGAAGGTTCAGAATTAAGCGTTGTTATGTCTTGTGTAGTTGTCAATGTGGGTTCAATAAGGCGCTATAAGAAAAATAAGATTTTATAATAAATAAAGTAATACTTTTTAAAAGTTACCAAAATTATTGCAAAGTTATTAACGTAGTAGTGTTTGTTGTGTTATGCATTACTATAAGTTATATTAAATAAATAGAAATGAAAGTGAGCACCACGTCCACTTCGTGTCTCTAGACTGAATGGCAGATCCATATTGAGTATATTGTGGCTAATAAAATTAATTCCTAATTTTTTCGTACATGACCAAATACAATCGCTAATAATACAGTAATAGGTGGGATTTCTCTATACTGACAAGAGTAGTTATTGGCTTCTGTTCGATTGCAGTCGGCAGGAATAAAAATTCCCAAAATATATAATGTCACTACTTCTTCTCTAAGGGCGAAGAACAGCTGATGTTCTTTTCAATAATCTTGAAGAGCTAGTGGTCATTAATATCAACTAACTTCAGTTGTTCTTAAACCACATAGTTTCGATCTAGTTGTGATGTCTAGACAAATAACCGACAATCAGTTGGTAACGAATGTGTGGCAATAAAACGGTACGAATATATTAACTGGACTCAATGAGAATTATCATTTCAACCAATCAAACCTTAAACATTGAAGGCTATTATTATATTTTAATATTACAAAGTATTATGCATGCAAATTACACGAAATCTTGACTTTCCAGATAAAACACTATAATATTTTAGAGCAGTAATAGCGCCGATTTGTGTAAGATACGATTGCGAAGATGACATACAGGCAGGTAGTGTCGAGACACATGTAAAAACCTACTTAACAAAGTTGGAATCCACAGATCTTAAATGTCATAAGATGATTTTATTATAAAACGGATGTAGGCATCTTTGCCACAGGATTTATTATGATAATAATTTTAATACATCATAATTACCTTGTTTAACGAACTCGGTAACCAAGTAACAGTAAAATACATTTTGAGTAGATGTCTATTGTTGTTGGTATTGTCCATCTTACTCTCTTGATATTTCTTCCACCACGACTATACGTGGTGGATATACGTAATAATTGTAAAAAGGTATTATTAAACAAAACTCATTTATTCTTAATCATAAATGTTAAGTTATTGAGGGATAAATATCAGTCGCTTAATGTAAGTATATATGGATTTCTCAGAAATAGGAATTTTAAAATAAAAAAAAGAATAAGGAGAGCAACTTTACCTTGAACCAAATTTAAAAAATGGGTAATACGAAAACAAAAAGTAGTACCTGATGAAACATAATAATACACGGAAACTATTAAAATGATATTATATTGTTTAACAGGTATAGGTAAAAAAAGTGTAAAAAGGTTATTACAATATACATAGAAAGATTTTCATATAAATTTTAAAAAAATATCTATTAATAAATGCAATATGCCATCTGTGCAATCGAGTCTATTAAAGTCTAATCGAGTCAACATTTCATTCAAATAGTAGTTGGGGCCAGTGCTATCCATGCCTGCCATAGTTCACTATAGATCATTATCATTGAAGACATTAAAATCAGAAATCAGAATCGTTTCAACTAAATTGATATATATAATTAATAATTATTGTTGAATATCTCCACAGTGGATCTGACAACAGATGTTTACTAATAATATATATTTTTTCGATTTACTTGCACCTATTTAAGCTTTGAGAATTTGTGCTAGATATGTTCTTACTTGCAGTTACATATATATTGGGTAACTTGGATAGACCAACCATACACATGATATATTAGCTAGAATTTTCAATAAAATAGATTTGCAAAGGCTTGCTTTAATAAGACTATTATTACTATCAAATTTTATGTCTCTTAAGACATGTTCTCTCTTATGATAGAACAGTCCATTCATCAAGAAAGACCATACACACCAAATTATGTACATACTAAATAAACCGGTTTTACTATCTACTATATTTTGTTTTTGGGTTATTGTCTTTGTCTACTTAAGATATGAAAGGTAAAAAAGGATCTCCTATTGGTTTGTTCAGGTAATGAAAGGTTTATATTGCAGGAACTACATCAATAAGAAAATAAATATTTCTTATAAGGTTCGATAGCTATCATTCCGGTTAGATTTTACTTTTCACTCTCCTAAATAAACTTAACAGAACAAGTATTGTAAGTAAATAAACGAATGTCTTTCTAAGGTTAAATTTCACAAGATAGACTGACTATATAACAAGGCATATTTAATCTTGGGTCTAAAAATTATTTCGTTGCGAACCACCGTCCGTAAAAAAACGTATCCATGGATTTAATGTTAAGATTTTGTCACATACATGGTAAAATTGGTAACACCTTTTAATTTTTACTCGTCGTTCTTTTAACTGATATACAAATGTATTCCTTAGAATTGAAAAATATAAGGTTCCGGGCTTTCATTGGAGTAAAGCACTGCTACCATAGTAAATCTCTGCTAGTCTCTTATATATCACCTACTAAAATATTATTTTTATATTCATATAGAAGAATAAGATATGAAATGGTAAACATTTTTTTATGGGTACTGAAGAAAATAGGGCAAGAACTTTAGTTGGGTGGGCAACCTTTTAAAGAATTGAGTGTTGTACAGTTCCATTTATTTAACTTTTATAAATATTTTTTTTAAATAATAGCGTCAATTTTAAATTAAATTTCAGTTGTATTTACTTTATTTCAATTAATCAATTTGATTTTAAATATAATATTAACTTAATTTGAATGTTATTTAAATTTTGAATTTAATAATAATTTAATATAAATTCAATTTCAATTATTATATTTATTTAATATAAATTAAATTATAATATTAATTCAATTTCAATTATAATAATTATTTAATTTTTATTACATTAAAAGCCATTAATTGTGCTCAAGTGAATTTTGATGCAAAAGGCTGTCACTTCAACCTAAACTATTGTTATTAATGTTGCAGAAATTTTTAATTAAGTCTATGAGGGAGGATACAACTTTAGAAGTTGGTTCAGTTTTTTTTTTTCAATATGACAAGCTAATAACAGTTTTAGTTGGCATAATAGGCCTATTCGTATTGACAGCGCTACATTTTTATGGACTTATCGCCATGGTAGATAATCAAATTAAATCTACCAATTAATTAAATTCTTTTAATAGTTTTAAGAACAATATTTGTTATATATTATATACATCTCCATTAAAATTTTATTGAAGTTAAATTAATTAATTTTCTATATTTCAATTATAATTTTTTTAGAACATTTTTATAATTGTTATAAAACAATAGTTTTTTTTTTATAAATATATAATAGTTATGGCGTTTTGTTATAAATCTTATTTACACTTATTCACAAAATATACTTTTTTATTTTAATAAAATTTGTTTTATTGTTCTTTATTAAATATTTTAAATCATATTTAATTTGAAATAAAAAAATTCCCTTAAAGAATAAAGATTTATATTTTATAAATGGTAAACCTTGATATTTAATATAGGAATATTTTTTTATTTATAGTAAATTCAATTCTATATATAACTTAAATTGTTGTAATATAAAAAAAAATTAATTAGTGAATGAAGTACATATATAACCACACAAATACACATACACATTTATGTACAAAAGAAATCATTAATACTTATAAACAATTCACTAGTAAATGGCAATCCATAAAAAATTCCTTTAACATTAAAAAAATGGCGTTTAACTGTCTGAAGGATTGATAAGTCCTTTGAAGTGCACACCAATTGCACAAAGCGAACCATGTGCTTGTGTGTGTGTATATAAATTCCGTTACAGAAGAGCATTACACATATTTACACTACGTCATAAGGACAAAGTATTTTAACACGACTTACTCTGTTCTTTATGCTTGTGTTATCCTCAATAACAGCTCTTTTACGAGTATTAAAGTACGCTGCAATTGATGGTTGTGCCATATTATACTTTTAAATTATTTACACGTAAATTATTAAACGAATACGATAATTTTTAAATTAAAACTTATTTTGTAAATGTATTGCAATAATTTTTTAGTATATTTGAATATTTTATATATTTCTTTACATAAATTTATATTAGTTGAATTAGTTAGAATTAAACGGCACTCAGCTATGTGCTACCACGTCGTCTTTTTAGCGCGCCCAATTCACTACTGATTTTCATTTTCCCTCCAAAAGACATTCTACCAAATGCATGCATCTCACCCTAACCGCGCCAAAATACTCATTCGCGCGTTTTTGTTTTGGGAAATTTTAATATTACCGCTTGATTTTTACACACACACTATCGTGCACTCGTTTCTCCATGTACACATTCACTTTGACCTAAATCAAGCGAATTTAGTACTTAAGGGGTTCATCAGCTGTATATAATTTTTTTATGCAATATAGTGTGTTCTCTTTTATTTCGGTATACTCTGCTCTGCTATGACAACAAAGCACAGATATGAAATAAGTATGACGTCAAGTTACTGCGTATTTTTTCTTTTGCACTAAATTTTATGCTTATTTTTTTAAAACGATGTTTACATATTTATTTTTTTGAATATCAACAAATTATTAATTTGTTTAAAAAAATATTAACTTTCTTCACAAAGAAAATTTCTATTACATCTTTTTAATTATAGTGACAGTTTGTCCGTAGATATGTAATAGTGCTGCCAGAGCATAATAAAATGAGGCTGGTGAGAAATTACTAAATTGCCACTTCATTTTGGGAAATTTTAAAGAAACATTCATTTTAGAAATTTGACAAACAATTTGCATTTTACAAATTAAAAAATAAAATATTAAAATAAAATTAAAAAATAATGTTTCCATACAAAATATCACGGCTGTTTAGACATTGCTCGCTATCGTTAACGGGATAAAAAAAAATTTCTGAACGCCCCTTTTTTTTTATTTTTTTTTTTTGGGAAATTTGTGAAATAGAGCTGTCAAAGCAGCTGATTTTATTATGCAAACGTAAAAAAAGTGGAAACTCGGAATGTAAAATTTAAGTAAAAATTTTTTAATGCAATTTTTTACTTCAATCGATATACACTTATTTATTTATTTTTTTAAATACTGTCAATTTTAAATTAAATTGAAATTTTGCACAGGACTTTGATATAGTAAGAATTAGCTGATGTTTTAATGTTAAAAATTTCAAAAGAAACTCTAACTTGTTTTACTATTAATAAACACAACATTGTATTATTATATTTCAGATTATTTTGCTAAAAATATTTCCTCATTTAGTAATATTTATTAAATATAATCTAAATGCGATCTAAATTAAAAATTTTTTGATTTAAGTAGTTTTCTTTTTTATATTTATTATTATTTTTGTACATGTGTTTATATAATTTATTATTTTTACTATAAACCATTAAAATTTAGTATATTTTACAAATAAATGTCTTCACTTGAAAAAATTCTTTTCGTTCAAATTTTTTTTTTTTGCGAGTTATTAATATTTTCTTTTACTTTACATTGACATATCAAAATAAATGTGTACGCATAAAATTTTATTATACGCGCAATTTATAATTTTGTATTTGTTGTTCTTAACTTTATTTTATATAAATAAATTATGTCTTGTACAAATAAATAAACTGTACTGTAATATTTGTACTAATTGTTTAAATATTGTATTCAAGTATTTAGCGAATATCAAAACCAAAGAAGAACTGAAAAGCAGTTTAGTTTGAAAAATACTTTCGAATAAGTTTCGTGATCACATTTTCCTATTAGAAATAATAGGTAAATTTATAAAATTTCCCTCTTCCATTCCTTTTTTAAATATATTAAATAAAACCGATTTATTACAGAGTGTTATACATTTATTCGCTGCTATATTTGTATTTGCAAACTATTTTTTTTTTGTATTGTTGAAATTTGTTTTTTTTTGAAATTTGTATTGTTGAATTCTTTGAATTGGCGAATTTATTTAACATCATATTAAAATAATTTTAATTTTTAAAATTAATTAATTAATTTTATAACAGTGTTATTTGTAATAAAATTCAAGTATCTATTGACAGTTAACAGCTGATAAATTAAACATTAAACTCTTTTTAAGGTGTTTACGCAATGTTTAAAAGTGATATTTCTTACTAAAAGTGTAATTTAGCTGCTTTTAGTAAACTAAAAGTGTTTTTAAGCAAAATTCATTTTAGGGTATATACGAGACCATAAAATCAATTTTAAGAATTTTAATTCTCGCGTAAACGGGGTGATATAGGTCGTGTGCGAGTTAGGCTAAGTTGCGTTCTAAATGAGGGAAATTCTAAGTTGTGCCGATAATGTAGTGATGTGTCGATACGTGTTGATAAATGGCTAAATGTGTGCAGTGGAAAAAATCCCAAAAAATCTCCCATTTGGTTTAGCATCAACTTAGCCTAACTCGCACACGTCCATAGTATACGTAATCATCATATGGCGGATACACAGTTTTTAATATCCATTAATAAATTTTTCCCTTTGTAAATTTTATGTTGGCAATAGTTTTAGAACGTATCCGATTTAATGTCAAAACCACATGCAAGTGGGAAAGCTAGTATTTTCTTTTTTCTCTCGGTAGTCATACCGTTTTTCACGAAATTGCTATGTTCATATTTTCTTTTCGGATGTAAGATAATTTATTTGCAGTATAATCAATAACTGATGCAATTTAATCCAATAGTATATTGGAAATATGAGCAATTAGAACAAATTTAACACAAAACATAAGGTAGCAGAAATTTGACAGATGGTAAATTTTTTCTGCTAAACTTGTTTGCAAAAGCAAGAAAGAGAGCGCACGCAAAATATTTGATGATATGGAAAAATAATCATACGTTAAGATGAGTACACTACATCTTCACACAAAAATATGAAAATTTTTATTGGAATATCGAACAATATCAAATTAAAACAGAAAAATAATCTGTGTGCTTTAATTCAAAATCTAAAAAGCATTTTTAGCTAATTTTAATAGCTCATTTTACGTGAAATTATGAAATGAAATGATGCAGTGCAAATTAAATGCTGAAACTTAAATTGGATACTAAAAATGTGGTATAAGCAGTTTTTGTTAAATTTGTCAACAAATGCTTAAATTTTCGTATATATAGATTTTTTGAATATTTATCAGTTAATAAATTGTAATTTTTATGTTTAAATTTTGGAAAATTATTATAATTTTAACAAATTTTCATTTTCTGTGCACCTACATCCATAGTGCTGGCTCTTTTGTGGGGCCATAATAACGTCAGTGCTCCCAAAAAAGAAATAGCAACAACAATAATCTGTAATCCGTAAAAACAGTGCTTGTCAAGACTTTTTGTAAGCAAGTAAAGAAAAAAAAAAACGCTAAATATGAATTCGAGAGGTGACGTCAACAGACGGGTATTGGCAATACAAGCAAAGAAAAAACGTCATAAGCCAAACAAAAGACGAGCCAAGGCAAATGGTGTAGCCGGTGGTCAAAATGGACAAGGGCAACCGCTAACACAAAACACAACTCCACCAAATTGTAATACAAATGGTGGAGGTATTGGTGCGCCACCAACATCACCACTTTCAGCTCCAGAATTCGGAATTAATCATAAAATGTCAAAATCATTTTGTGGTGCTCCATCACCAAGCGCCAGTAATTCGATACCTGGTCTAGGTGCATCTATAGATTTTCCTGAATCAATGAAATTCTTGCAAGATAAACCAATCTTTGATAAAAAGAATGTCGTAAACCACTATGAATGTCGATTGCTTCAACAACAACGACAACAACAGCAGCAACAGCAACAACAATTTCAACAACAACAGCAATATCAACAACAACAGCAATATCAACAACAACAACCAGAACGAAGTTCTTCCTACGATTCAGATGCGACTGACTTAAATAGCGAAAATGAAGATCAAGAGTTAAAAGAAGATTATTGTAAAGGTGGTTACCATCCCGTCAATATTGGCGATCTTTTCCAAGGTATGTGCACTTCGTAATATTGTTTAATATATCTTGTAGAATTTTTTAATTTTATTGTTTTTATAATTTCTAATACATTTGCATTTCTAGTTAAAGATTATCTATGGTTAAAAAAATTAGTCCTAATTTTAAACTGATTAGGTATGTCAAGTTTTTTTTTTTAAAAGCACAGTAATGTACCACAAGGCAGATTATGCAAATTAATCTTTAATATAAAATTCCAATATGTTTATAATTATCTGAAAAATCATTATTTCATTTTTTTATATTTGAAATAATTGAATTTATATGTGTGCCAAAATTCCCATATTATTATTATTTATTTTTATATTGATTTTAGTAGTTGCTGATCTTAAGTTTCAGAACAATTCTCTAATCACTCTAATTTGATGTTCGATATTCTCAAGAACAATGGAAAGACACTGGTTATAACAACAACAACCTATCTTTATATTGCAATTACTATTATAGCAGTGTTCTTAACCGAACATTTGTTGAACCATGACTTAAAGAATTTAGACCATTTATTTCGAATGACCCATTGTATTACAATACCTATATATCTATGTATATAAAATTTTTTATTAAATTCAAGCTCAAAGTTCCGATACGTCTATGGCTAAAGCTATGTGGTACATTTCTTATTCAATTATAAATATAATTGTAAGTTGTATTTTCATTAATAAAGAAGGAACTAACTAATTTGAAGTTTGTTTTTATGATATATTTAAGAATTATCTTTTGAATATATGAATTATCTAAATAGCAGCTGTTCCTCCCTGATATAAAAACGTGCTAAAAAATTTAATAAATTTAATAGTAATTATTTTCGGTTTAAAGTCCTATTAGTTTTTAAAAGGTCTACTTGTTTTTTCTTCTTGGAAAGAATGACTTTTCAATTGTGAAGATAAGCGCCATTTCGTCATCAATTTTAAGCAGTGTTTCCAAGAAGTAGAATTAAACGTTTTTGGGATCTTTTGATTTTGTTAGAAAGTTTGTGTTTTTTTTTACTAAAATGTTATACTCTATAATTGCTATTATATTATATTAAAAATAATAATATATTAAATATGTTGAATATGTTAAAATATATATAAATAAAATATAAAGTAAAAGGTTTTATTTAGTGTTCAAATAATTAAATTCAATATTTGCATTCACTAAATGATGTATTACACAATTTGTGTAAAAACAGCTTCAATAATATTGAATAGAATCAAAATTATTACACATATACATATATATCTATATATGACACATATTCAAATGAATGCGTTGTCATCGGAAATAAAAGCAAAATCAATAGTAACACTTTATAAAACAAAAAAAAAAAATTATATATATTAAAACAAAGACATAATCAATACTGTATGTAAACGACCGTACCAAGCAACCAACCCACTTTCCAATAAACTTAGTTTACTTACACATTCTTCATCTATTTGGTGACACTAGCACACCCACTATAAATCTTTCGTTCAGTACCTTTTAGCTTTTTTTTTTTTTTTGATACTAAACAAATGTTCTTCAATTCAAATAAGTACCAAATGAACATAGAAATAACAATAAAAAAAAAACAATAATAAAACAATATGAAAAAGCATTAACCCAATTTTTGGTTCATACATTGTTTCGTGTGTCTATTAAAAGAATAGATTTAGTTACGTTGCCAGTTTCATACATACATACATAATGGCATATACATACAATAGCTATATATTATAAATATAACTTTAACTAAAGTTGTGCATTAAATATATTCAAAATATTTCATTAATAATCTATTGATTATATTACCCTGGTTATTCCATCTGTTATTCAAAGTGACACATTTCATATGTAGAGATCCAGATCAGAAAAAAGGTTCCTTAAAAGTACCAACGCAATACAATAATTTTATATAAAAATTTTAGAATGTAATCTCTTGTCTTTTTTGTCTGAAAAGTATTTAGCTTTCGGTTGTCTAGTACGTTGTTTTTACTTTATTTTTGGTGCAGTTAGCTGTTAATTAGTTTTTCTTATTACATTTTTCAGTGTAGTTAGCTTGCATTTTCAACACTGTTTATTTCTTTACATACATATGAGCAAAGTTGAGCATTGACTGCATATATAACTGAAGTGAAGTGATTTACTTCATAATTGATATTAAATTAATTTTTTAAGGCAACTCATATGCAGTGTTTGCTATACTTAAAATGAGTCAACATATTAATGTTATCGTTAAAAATCTGTAGTACATGTTCGTGTTAGTTGAGAAATAAATTTATTTGTTATAAGAAGAAAAATTAAATTCGTATATATTTTTCATTTAAATTAAAGAAATTATAAAAAATTATTGCGGGTGATCAAAATTAAAAAAGACAAATATTAAAACTTACCAAAGTTGGAATTTGAACTTGAGACAGTAGGTGATAGCGCTTAACCTTTAGCTGATTCTACCATTACTCGTGCTGCAGAATTTTTCAATATATATTATGTTGAAGTAAAACAATATAATCAGTGTTTTTTTTTTATAATTTGTATTTTATTGAAACATAAAATTATATACATGGATGAGAATTTATTGACTTTTTTTAATTTTAAAAATCTTTTATCTACTATACAAAAAATGTTGTTTTTGTTTAATAAATAAAAATATAGTTATCAATGTTTTTAGTTAATTGTGTTTTATGTATAAAATCTGATAAGAATCAGTCTGAACTTATGCCATTAATTCTTGTGAAGTAACTATAAACTAAAATATTTAAAATGCCTTAAGTAGGGGTAACGTTACATTATATATTTAAAAAAATTTGATTTATATAAATAATAAATTCTTTAAACTAGTTGAGAAATTGTATATATCTTATTACAGTCAAACTTTCATAACTCGGTTTATGGAGACTTCGAGTTAAAGAATTTTTTGTAATTGTATGTAATTTGCTCTCTAAACCCTTCTTCTTTTATTATCCGCATCTCTCAGTAAAGCATAGGGTCTTATATAGCCTCTCTAAACCCTGTTGTACTTTATTTAGTCCGCGGTATAAAAAATTCGAATTGTAGAAGTTTGAGTAATTGAAGTTCAAGTTATAGAAATTTAACTGTATATAAATATATATTTTTTTATTTTTATTTTATATATACATACATTTATTTTAGATATATATCAAATTTAATAAAATTTGATGAATTTTGAAATTTTTATAATTTGAATAATTGCGAAAAGTTATAGATCTTTAGAAGTTTGTCTTGCAGTGCGTTAAGTGTCACATAAGACGAATAGGGAGTATTCTTAAGAAATCTATTTTTTTAAGAACCAACCAATATACTCTGTGTTTTGTCTGTATGAAAGGTGAAATAATAATGTACGTGATATATAACACTTTGCCATTGTAGAATAGTGTCAGAAGAGTCGAAGAATATTCAGCCGCTTTTGTAACCAAGAAAGAAATAAATCTTCATTCTAAAAGAATATTTATTTTATTTATTAGAATATTTATTTATTCTAAAAGAATAAAGATTAATTTTCATTTTTGCTAAATAATCTTATCACTTTCATATAATCGAATTATAACAATATATTAATAATAATATAAATTGACTTATATATACCCTGTTATTAACCTTTTATCTGATATATGATTAATTGTTTATTTAATCACTTGAATCACAAACAGAAAAATTATATTATATTGATAGTTAAATGAGATAACGTAGTTCCAATTAAACCTTACCTATAACCGTCATGGAATCTCGTCAGTCAATAGCAGTTTATTTGCGCACAAGCGAGCTTTGGTGAGCGAGACTGCCACTCCAATCTAACACGATGTTTCAATCTAACACGATGTTCCGTCGTAGGACATCGGCAGTCTCTATGGGGTTCAGTAGATATAAGCACGGTTGCCACTTGAAAATTTTTTTCTGTACCAAAATTGGTTTAAAAAGGTACCATTTCTGTAAAAAAAGATCCAAAAATTTTTTGGACCTTTTTGTTTTCTCGTTCTGTGTTTTTCTTAGTGTTATAAATGAACAAAATATAAAATAGTGCAAAGTTGCATTTATAAAAAAAATTAATTGGAAATATCCACAATAAAGTTGGGTCGTCAAAAATGTACTATTTTTTGAACGTGAGTACCAAACGGAAAAAAAAAAAGTACCAATTTTGGTACTAAAGTACCATAAGTGGCAACCGTGGATATAAGTCACAACTAGCTTACTATATTAGGAGGTAGTGAAGAATAGAGAGAGACACGATGTATATTAAGCTTCAAATAACTACATCAAATTTTTTTATAATTATAATATAATTCAACTTAAGATGAGAAAAGAACAATATTCAAAATAATTTAATTGCTGTTCCAGAAAGAAAGTTATGTCAATATTCTAACAAAATCCTTTATTTGATTCTTGTGTATCTTTAGAGATATATTATTTTTATATAAAATATTTAAATCATTATTATTTGTTTGCAAGTTATGGTAAAAATTGTTCTAAGGTATTTCTAAAGTATTAAACTAGACTGATTTATCTACAATAAAAATGTTAACAATTAGAAATTATGATTTCATAGTAATCGCAATACCAGTAGATAAACAAAGTTTATCAACTTTTTTTTTTATTTTTTATATATTATTCTATCCTACTAATTACGCATCCCATATGGTATACGCTATCTGAGTTTTGCAATTGTTTTTTTTTATTCATATTATGAAATTTATAAATTCTTGTTCTATGTTCGAGCAAAAAGCGGAAATTATTTAAGATTGTACCTAATATACAAATTCATTAATACCCTTCACACATTTAGTGTGAAAAGTTGGTTTGAAAAGTATTATGTTTAATAAAATCTTTGCAACAGTTTGAAGGAGCCATATGAGGCCTCCTAAAGTATCAACTATCAGCTGTACAAGGAATAGCGATGTGATATGACACAGGTTTTTTAATTGTCCAAATAGTTCAGTGTCCAAATACACATATATTTTTTCTGACCTTAAACTTCTGACGTTATAATAAATGCCATTTAAGGGGCCAGATATAAGCTCTTGTTTGCAAAAGTTTTACATTGATAATAGTATATAATATATATAGTATAGTGTTCAGTTTCGATAAAACTATAGCATAGAATCTAATAGTTTTTAATAAAGCTTAATAAAAATTAAGTGTGAAGGGTGTTTATAACCATCGGCAAAGCTAAAATTTTAATTTTTTATTTAATTTCATTTTATGTATATAAGTAAAACAAAAGAATTAAATAATTAATCTTGAATAATTTATTTCTTATCAGTTGTTGTGCAATGGTGTGTAATTTTTATTGTTTTTGTTGTTCTACATTATTTATTGATAATTAAATTCAATTGAAATTGAAGCAAGAATCAAATTTAAATCCTTTTGGAAATTAAATTGACTGATATATAAAGTATTAAGGAGTATTCAAAAAAATTAGTTTCTTATTTTAATAAAAAATATACCTAGGATGTATTACTTTAAGATAACAAACAGTAATAATTGTAATAATAATATATTACAATTATAGAATAATTCTATATTTATATTATATTATTAATAAATAATTAAAAATTATATATCCTCTAAAATCTATCTATAAATCTATCAACAAATAGTAAAGAAGGAGTAATAATGAAAAAATTTTTAGATTAAATAAATTCGATTTTGTGATTGAATGGTATATAAGGTTAGGTTAGGTTAGAGTGGCGGACTTGTACCTGAAAATGGTGAAATAATAATTTACAAAAATATTTGCAATGAAGAAAACATTGGAGATCAGATGTCTAAATCAGGGCTGTATAAAGCACGGATCACGGGACACATGCTGCCCGTGGATAATATATATGGGTCCGCGATATGTTTCTAATCTACCACAATTATGCAAATTTTACTTTGATATATTTTGGTTAAATCACATTATATTATTTTTATGGTATCCCAAAGAAATACCATTTATTCATATAAATAAATTAATAAAATTAAATTTAACATTATCACCTTTTTTTTTTCTCCAAAAAAACCATGGACATATGTACTTGTTTCTGCGGCAATTAAATCTGTACAGTGATTTATAGTGGCCCACATTCGTTTCTGGTCTGGACAGCCTTAGTCTACATCACAGCCATCTAGTCACCTAAATGCGATAAACTTTGTACATTTAATGTAAATATGTTAAATGTTATTGCAAACTAGAAGTTCAACAAAAAAATCGTTAGAGGGTATATTTATAACGGCAATTCTAAAGATCCACTTACATTAAATGGCTTAATAATGAAAAAAAAAAATTATATTTCTAAAAAAGGTGTAAAAAGATTTGCTTATTACATAAAATATACTCTATCCCAATTATTTGTCTAAAAAAGGTTCGCCTTTTTTTATTTTGGAATGTGACTATTTTTTTCATCTCTGTCTCCCTTGTTGGGGTCTGGTCACCGAATGAGATGAGCTATTTTCCATTTTGGAAATTTGCCTATCTTTCAGATTTTTGCCTCTCTCTGGTTGAGGTTTAGGAGGTCACCGAAGGTGTTTATAAAATTACGGATGAGATTAATTGCCTTAAAATGTTCACTGTTTTTCTGCCATTCTGGAAATTTGGCTATCTTTCACATCTCTGTCTCTCTCTGGTTGGGGTCTGGTAGGTTACCGAAGGAATTTATAAAATTAACTACCATGTGAGTAAAATGCCAATATAGTTTTAATTTTAAATTTATTAAAGGAAAGTTGCAAAAAGAAGTCTCATCTGTATAGTACACAGTGCAATGTTAGTATTTAATATAAGTCAAAAAAATGTTGCAATTGATATTGAATAATTAGTTATTAACATACCTACATATATGTATGAATTAGTTTCAAATTCAATCACTTACTTAATTGATCATAACAACCCGTTATCGGATTTCGGTCTGACGCAGCACTCTTCACCAGGCGCTTTTGATCACGGACGCCTTCTCCATTGGAGATACGGTTTACTTCTATACCTTCTTCCTTCAACTGCCGCTTCAAACAGCTTTACCGCTGGAGCATCGTCAACCATTCATACGACATAACCAAATCAGCGAGACCATTGGATGTTAATTTGTTGAATTATATAAATGTAATGAAGTTCGTACAACTTGTGCTTCATTTGGTTGCGGTTGTTGTCACTTTCTCGTGAAATGACTACAGATCTTATGAAGAACTTTTCTCTCGAAACTTCTCAGAACTGCTTCGCCATTTTGTGATAGCACCGTCTGTGTGAACATTCTGTCCAAGCTTCTACTTCAACTAAATAAATAAATAATATATTAAAATTAAATAATAAAATATCGAAACAAAAAATATTAAATTAAATAAAAAGTTGTTTAAAAATTTAACAACTAAAATATTTATTAATTCTTTAAAGTCGTTTTTTGACAAATTCTAACGATTTGCTTAAAATTATAAATGCAGATTTATTTAACTATTATTATTAATTAATTAATAATTTAATTTTGATATATGACCAATAACTCATAACTCTGCATTATAGGTAGTAATATTTTTTAAACTTGTTCTTTTATTATTGTGTTCTTGAGTTAGGAGAATGTTTCTTACTTTTTTAGATTATCTGTCTTTCCAATTACTTCTAGGGCACATATTATTTCCATATATCGTTCCATATAATTCCATATGATATAATTCCATATAATTGGGTTCAGCTTATGAAGTGATTAAACTTGTTGAAGTTAACATTGAAATTTTATAAAATACTCATGGTATTTATTTAATCTCTTGACTAGAATCTAGCTTAGTCAGCAGACATTGTTTACTATTTTTTTTTGTATACTAATTTTAATCAGCTTAAGTTAACTAAAGTAGTCTCAATTACAAAATAGCTCCTTTTTCATTTAAAATCCAATTGGTTGCTATAATTGAAAAATTCTTTCGTTCTTTCTGTGATGTGTTAAGTGGCCAAACGATGACTTGTATGCATTCATTGGACAATTGCATTGTTAACTTCGAAACGAAGATAGCGAATCAGTCTTGTTATGGCATTGAAATGTGTAATATTGTAGTCTGCTAAAGTCATGAAGGTTCCGCATTAATATGCATTGAAAGTGGATTGTTTTAAGCTATACTACGATTATTCCAGAAAATGGATTTATTCGTTGATTGCGTAGATTTTTATGATTTCATTTATTTAATAGGTAAACAGTGATTTTAATATGTGAATTTTGTTTTATTTTTATAACTTTTAATATATTATAAATAAGTTACGCATGTTATGCATTACGATAATAATTTATTGTTTTTTTTTTCTATTATTTACAGGTCGTTATCATGTCTTACGGAAATTAGGATGGGGTCACTTTTCGACAGTTTGGCTTTGTTGGGATTTTAATGAAAATCGTTATGTGGCTATTAAAATTGTGAAATCCGCACCGCATTTCGCCGAAACAGCCAAAGATGAAATAAGAATACTCAAATCTGTTCGGGATTCGGAACCTGAAAATCCTAAACGTCAAAAAACCGTGCAATTATTAGACGATTTTAAGATAAATGGTGTGAATGGTACACATATTTGTATGGTTTTCGAAGTGCTTGGTGATAATTTACTCAAGCTCATACGCAAATCTAATTATCGTGGCATACCCATTGAGAATGTGAAATCAATAACGCGTCAAGTGTTGGAAGGTCTGGATTATTTACATGCATGTTGCAAAATTATTCATACTGACATAAAGCCTGAGAATGTACTTTTATGTGTTGATGATACATATATACGCTCTTTGGCCAATGAAGCTACCGAATTGTATGTTATGAATTCGAAAATGTTTCCATCATTTGTTAGTCGTGCACCAAAAGAATATCGTGAACCGCAAATTACTGGTAAAATGAGTAAAAATAAAAAGAAAAAATTGAAAAAGAAAGCGAAGAAGCGTTTGGAACTCTTTAAAAAGCAAAGAGATTATTTAGAACAAAATCAAGGCGCACAGCCTGAAAATAATATTGATGGTGTTGTTTTAAGTGATGATGCACCTCGCGAAAGTGGTGCTGGAGGTGATGAATTAAATATACAATCAGGTGAAGAAACTGGTGCCGAATCTAATGGGGCTATGTTAAATGGTGATGCATCATCAGAAATTGAAGATCTCGAACAGAATTGTGTCATAATTAAATCTATAAAAGAAATTTTATCTGAAGTTAACACTGAGGAGCAAGAAGAATCAGACGACTTGGAAATAATTTCTGAAAATAAAATTACTGAAATAAAAAAAGAAAACAAACAACAAACAAATGTCGCCGAGTCTGAAAAGACAGAACAAAAGAAGAAGAAAAAGAAGAAAAATAAAAGTAAGTAAAAGTTAATAAAAAATATAATAAATTTAAATGTTTTAAACAACTAAAAAGTAACTCGATTGTCTATTGAACATAGCTGATGTATAAGAAAAAATTTGTGACTTTGGGTAATATAGTAAAGCGGGCATAGCCGGGCGTATTTTCCTTTTCGAATCAATACAGTATTGAATTGAAATTTTCAGTAGCATACGATTATATTAGATTTTTATAGAATTTTTTTTTGAACAGTAGTGAACTACAACAACAAAAATTTTACTTTTTATATTATTTTAATTAATTGAATTTTTGGCTTACCCTACAGCTGTTTCGAGTATTGCCAAATACCCATCGTCAGTGGTCTTGGAAATAATTCTTGTATTTAATTATTCCTCAATAATTATTTTTTAGACTGCAAGTACCAGGAATCGAACTCGGGTCCTGGTAAATGTGAAGCTCAGAATCAGCGCACCTTAACCAATTGATCCAAAGCCATACTTGACTTTTTATGTTCCCATATTTTTCTGGAGTTTAGTTACTTTTGTTATGAAAGTTTTTATTAACAATTTTATTGCTGTGTATGGCTTAGATTTTTAACAAAAAACTTTTTGGGATCAAAGTTAATAGTAGTTTTAGAAACTTACCGTTTAATCAACAGCCAGCACAGCCGGGTGTGTGCATATTAAATATGTATTTTCTACTCAGTATATGTATATAGTATATTTTTTTAATATTTTCATATTGTTAGCGGTTTTTAAACGTAATGATTTGGGTGTGTTAGATGTATGCTTATTTATACGTTTTTGGACAAAAAGCTCTATATATAAATTATGAAATGTTAGTTAAGGATTCGTTCAAAGTAGCGTTACCATTTGCAGAGCACACTCCACGTTGAATGGTAATTTATCTACGTTGCATACGTCAATCCCTTTCTTTGTATTATGAATAGATCGGTTCCTATCGCAATGAAGCTAACATCATTGAGACTGAATAAAAACAAGAGCTTTTTGGCTTAAATATCGTGACAACATTCTCTTCGTGATCATGATTATATCACAACAAAATTCTCAACAGGTTTTCGCCTGAAAGCTTCGGGTGTGAAATACGACTGTCACCTGTAGCAAAAACTGTACATGTGCTTAACATTTGCTTGTCACGCATAAATACGTCTGTCTCCAATATATGCCCTAACTATAATTCTACTTCGCATGACGTAGCCTGATTGTTCTCTTGTCCAATTGAATGCACCAACTACATTGGTTTATGCCTTCAACTCGTGGACATGGTAATATTCTTCACATAAATCTAACGTAGACTTAACTATCTCGTTTAACCCTTTCCTTATTCACACTCCATTCTTATCATTCTCCCTATTAAATTTTTATTGTTAATGGCTTGTCATTCCTTCCATGTGCTTGTTTTTTTAGGTCCAGATGGTCCACAATAACAATAGCAATGTATAGGCTACACCAGGCTTATAATTTATTAAAACTGTTGTTTGCTCGTGTACTCTGAATTTTCAATATTAATATTATCTTTTAAATAAAATAACTGATTTAATTGATTTAAAATAATTTATTTATATTTTTTGTTTAGAAAACTCCATCCAGAATGCTCAGAGCAAGGAGCTGACACAGCAACAAAAGTCGCAGCAACAATCGCAGCAACAGTCTGATAGCAAATCCACATCAAGTAGTGGAAGTAATACGGTTAAATGTGAAGCGAATGAATCGAGCGGCTCATCACCAACTTTAAAAGGACAATCAACAAAGAAAAAAAATAAAAAGCAAAAAAATAATTCAGAGAATAATAATATATCTTCGACTATTACAAATACAAATAATAATCAGAAAATCTCAAATGACCAACAGCCACATATGAATTCTGCCAACGTGAATGGAACAATAAATCCAAACACAAAACCTTTAGTTAAAAAGGATCCAGCACTTGAAGCTTGTGATTTTCAAGTGAAAATTGCCGATTTGGGTAATGCTTGTTGGGTAGACAAGCATTTCACCGAAGATATACAAACTAGACAATATCGTTCTTTAGAGGTTATACTCGGTGCTGGTTATGATACATCCGCTGATATATGGAGCACAGCTTGTATGGCATTCGAGTTAGCAACTGGTGATTATCTTTTTGAACCACATTCAGGTGGAAATTATACACGTGATGAAGATCATATTGCGCACATTATTGAATTACTTGGTCCAATACCATTAAATATTATCTTCCGAGGTGCTTATGCTACGCAAACCTTTAATCGTAAAGGTGAATTACGTAATATAACGGGCCTTAAACCATGGGGTTTAGTTGCTGTTCTGTACGAGAAATATGAATGGCCACGTGAAGAAGCAGAGGCATTTGCGAATTTCTTAAAACCAATGTTAGAATTTGATCCGGCTAAACGTGCCACTGCTGCGGATTGCTTGAAACATCCATGGCTAAGATAAAATACAATTAATTGTTGTTGTGCAGTTTCGCCATCAACTTTAACATTAAAAGAAACTAAAGCACTGCATACTAAATCTGCTTCATCATCACCATCCAACAGGTTAGTAACACATACATTATGTTGGCGAAACACATTGAGACGCATGTTTCAAAGGAAATGACTATGACATATTGTGTTAGTGGTTAGTAAATGGATCTGTGTAAGAAAATATGATATAAATTAATGTTAATAATTATGCAAATATGCCACTATTTAAATTATGTATTTATTAAAATTACAGTAATTGCGATGAATTACGTATAGTAAAATTATGCAGCATTGCACTAACAATCTATTTCGATAAAAATTGAACACAACCATAATATATTATTGCAAAAAATTTTATTCAAATAAATATATAGCTTAACTCCTGTATTCCAATTTTAAAATATTTATTTATATTTTCTTATTTTTAACAAGTTTATAATATATCATTGTATTAATTTAGTATATACTGATTTGATTAATAATATTTTTAAATTTTGAAGTGAATGCTATTATTTTAAATTACCATATATATATATATAGAATCGATCTTTGTGTGCCCGCCAATTTTATAGTGTGGGCAATAAACCGACACTAATAAAGGCTATCCGAATGAGGATAAAGTAATTAAAAATTGTTGATTTTCTCATGCTTTTATTGGTAACAGATAGACGAATATTTCCCTTACCGGTAGGAAAGGAATTTCTAAGTATTCGGATGTTATAGATATGTTGGTACAGTAAGTTAAAAATTTGTGCTATCAGTAGACATTGCTAAAGTAATTTAAAATTATTTGTACGCAAATGACTTTGTAATATGTATATTATGTTCTAGATCGGGTTTTCTCAACCACCGGTCCGCGTCATTAACACCAATGCTAATCTGACAAATTAAAGCGACTGATAAATTCAACAATATGCCTTAGCTTAGGACTCCAGGTCTCATTTGGTTCAATTAGAACCAAATGCAGAGATTATAAGCGTTTCGTGACAATCGTAGAAGATTAGTTGATAAGATGCATTTCATTCCATCTATGTGTATCAACTTCTTTTAATTTCACCTTTGAAAGGTAAAATGTGTATAGTTAAAAAATAGTCAGTACAGTTCTATTTAAATTGAAAAATTTGGCGGAATTTATGTTTGTGTCTGGCACATAAATTAAATTAATGATCACAAAAATTCAAACGTTTTAAAATCTATGGACAATATACGTATATATTATATGTATATAAATATGTAAGAAATGTATTTAAAGAGCAATAAAAAACTTAAAACTTAAAAAATTTAATGTCATTATAAACTCATATCTCTAATTTCTTGTATTTTGGGTCAGGATGGGCCATAATGGTCAACTGATTAATTGCTTTGATTTTGTTCTTCCTTCAACTGAAGAAAAAAAATATAAAGTTATATACAACTAATATTTTATTATTATATAATATTATAATATTATATATTTTATGCATATTTTGATATATATATCAAAATATATATATAATATATATTAAAATATATTTATAATATATATATAAATTTATATATATATTGTAATATATATACATATTTATAAATATATTTTATATGTATATATTATATGTATATTGTAATATATATATATTTATAATATATATTTAAATATATTTGAATGTGTATATTTATAATATATTTTTAAATATATTTTAGTATATATATTTTTTATATATATATTATTATATGTATTTGAATATATATAAATTTGATATACATATATTATTTAATATTTAGATTTATGATTTTAAGAATTAATAGTTGTATTAATTTTGAAATAAATTCATTCATTTAAGTTTTATTATTTAATATTTAATTTTTCAATAAAACACAAGAATTAAAAGGTTTTCGTACATAGCTTCGTTGGGTTACTTTTACTGGCGATGGTTTTGGGTTGAAAAAAAGTTTTTATATTTTGTGATATAACACAATGGCTATTGAATAATAAGCCTTTTTGTGTATTTAAAAAGATAATATTTTATTTTATAGATATTTTCGATTATTTTTATTGCTCTTTCTTATATCTTTGTTGTATTTCTTATATGTCAATGTTAGGTTTCTGAGAATATTATAAGATTGTCAATTAAACTTTTAGATTATCATTGTTGCTCTTTATAATATCTTTATCATATTTCTTATATGTCAATGTTACGTTTATGAGAATACTATTACAACATAGTCATACAAAGTTCTAGAAAGATACATTGTCTAACTTATCGAAGAATCAGCAGACGTCGTAAAGATCGATAGAAAACTTGGTTGAGTGTATATTTTTTTTAAATTTTCTTTTAAGTGCACTGTTTAATATTTGCATAAGAAAACGTAATTTATAATAATATTTTTAAAAACTGAACCTTTAAATTTTTAGAAACAATAAATTATTATTATTTAAGTTATGTACATTATTGGTAAAACTACTTATTTTTCTTAAATTTATTTATTAAGTGCTTTGTAATTTAATTTTTTTTAATATGTATAAGTTAAATGAGGGACTAATTGTTTACATTATATAAGATTAAGCTGAAGGCGATTATAAAAAAATCTTTAGAAAAATTTTTCAGAACAAATTTAAGAAGAAATGAAAACAGTAAAATAAAAAAAATCTTATAAATGAATGAACAACCTATTAACAAAATAGTAGATTATTAGATACTAAATGTTAAATTATAAAAGAGATTTCATTAAAAAAAATATAAAACATATATAAGAGTAGTTGTTTAAAAAATGTAACATTGAAAAAAATATTTAAATATATTATATATAAAAATATATAAATTCTGTTACAAAATCAAGTAAGTTGAAATAAAATTAAAAACAATAAGTAAAATTAAAAATATGTAAAATTAAGTAGCAAACATGAAAATAAAAATAAAACTATCATCAATTATTCAAATATAAACTTTAAATATAGAAATTCAAACAAATAATTGTGAAAGAAAAATCTTAATATCGTACATATATACAATATAAGAGGAAGAGGAGAGCGTTTGAATGTGCGCTATAAACTCAAGTTAATTATTCTAAATTAACACATTATTAATATTGTATAAAAACCCTATGTTTTACGGGTTAAAGTAATATTAAAACCAGTACTAATTGATATAATTAAAATGGTCGTAACATCCATTAAAAATCGTTATATATAAGTTTGTGTTGTGCAGAACATTCGAGAATTCAAAAAATTAAATAACTAATATGCTTTAGTAAATAAAAAAAAAAAAGATGCAAATACAATTCAAATTAAAACATTAAATAATTACTTCTCCAAACTGAACTCTATTAAAATGAATATATGAAACATAATAAAATAATCTTTATTTCAAAGAAATATTCTTAGGAAAAACAAGAGAAAAATCATTGAACTATACCCATTGCTGGTCGTAATGCTCTATATGTTTATAAACAATTTTTAAAAACTTAAAAACTTTATTAAAAAAAAAAACTATTGGTAACTGTTGTTGCTTTACATGATTAAATTTATTTAATATTATTATATTATATATAATAATTTTTTTTTTTCTAATATGAGACTTAAAGTAAAGAGTTTAACATGTTGGCTGCCACGCTATAAATGTGAGATATCATTTTTAGTTCATGCGGTTTGTCATGTTTCACATGCGTTATAAATATATTTATATATATCGCACACCCTCTTCAAAAGAAGCACAACTCGAAATTGTCAATTTTTAGATAACGCATAAAACGTTTTGCAGTGTAGTGTCATTCCTAACAAAAAAAGAGATATAACTGTTTTTTTCGACAGGTAGACAGATAAACTATAAGCATGTTCCATATATTAACTCAAAATTGCCGAATTTCGAGTTGTGCCTCTTTTAAAGAGTGTGTGCGATATGGTCTGAGGGTCAACCTTGTTATATATCAAGTTGATACATATGACAGACAAAGTGTTAATCCTATAATTTGTGCTTTTCATCAATTATAATTTTCTTAGTAATTGTTGCTGTAGCCCTGCTGGAAAGCCTATTTATTGAAACTCTGTTGGGAGTAGTGAGCAATTCTTTGTTGTCTGAATAGATTTGCAGCTCCGCAAGTAGTAAATTTATAGACTACTACTCCCATTTCATTTATTTGGACTGTTCCTATATCCTTAAAAAAAGATTATTAGTTCTTTTTTTTCAAGATATATATACATATTAATATATATATATATATAAACATATAATGTATTAGTTTAAACAGAGTTTATATGGGTGTGCAGAGCTTCGATTTAATTAATAGGATTATATTCGTACATCCATGGTTAGTATTCTTAATTTAATTTTAAAATATAATGCGAATTGGAGAATAAACAAATTGGAAATAAACAAAAGCCGGGGTTTGAATAAAATATGCTAATGTTTATAGTAACAAGGGTCTGTGTCACAATCAGATAGCTCTATTTTTAATTCTGGTTTTTAAGAATTCTTTTGAGAATAAAAGACTTAAAAACATTTAAAGTATATTGGTACGTAAGGATATGGATTCCTGTTATTTTTTAAATAATGTGTCTGTATCACAGCTAGGTGTTTTATTAAACTCATAGGAATTCTTTTGAAAATAAAATATATAAAAAAATAATTATATTGATATTTATCTATATGCTTTCCTGTTCGTTTTTATATAAAATGCTTCTAAAGGTATCGAAGAGTATTAGGGAACAACCGTTATAAAATCAATTGTTATTGGCATTTTCAATGACTTTGATAGGAGAAGAGAGCAGATAAGAATCAAGTCCTTTTGAAAGTCAAATAATTAACAGTCCTTTTGAATTTCAAGGGAATTGAACGGTCCGCATTGCTTTCCCACCCACTCTCCAAAGTTAGTCCACAGTGATTTTTGACTACTGCCAAAAATTTTTGACTCAAATGAATAAATCATTGCTGAAACTAAGCTAAAGTCAACTCGTTATATCAGAAAGGTATTGAAAAATAAGTGTAGCATTAAAATGAATGTACCGCTCGTAAAAAGAGCATTTAGACAAACAAAGTTGGATTGTTTGCCTTAGAACGGGGCTTATTGAGAGATAGAGATACAGCTCTTGTGAAATATTTAACGATTATATCTGATATTTTTTTTAATTGTTTCTTGCCAAATCTTAATAAAGAGATTTATTAGGTACTGAAAAAGTACTGTATTTTATATTCTTTAAAAGCATTCTTGTTTTAATTATGCAAATTTTTGACTATGTCTTTGGGTTCTCTCAAATGAAATTGTTTTTCTCCTTTCAGGTGCTATTTTTTGTTTAAAGAAAGTACAATTAAGTTTTAAAAAATTGTTTAAGACATATGAAGCAAAAAACTGGAAACTAAAAGGTTCAACCTCAAAGATATAGAACTAACTAACAAA